CATCAGCCAAGAGCTTGGCTGCCTGTCCCAGAGGCTTTGAGAACGGAGGCCAGCGGCAGAGCATCCTGGGGAAGCTGGGCTGCAGGGAGGACCCAGTCAGAGTGAGTAAGCCAAACACTCAGAGGAGCCTTTGGGGTTTGGGGTGTGACTCAGGGCATGTGGCATCCCCTGTCTGGCCTATTTTCCCTCCCAGTACCAGGAAAGAGCTGGATGGGGACTTCTGCCAGTCTGCTAGTAGCAAGACTACAGCTGGCCCTAGGGATCCTCACTCCTACCCCGGTGTAACCTTTGTCTGGCAGACCTTCTCTCCCAAGTGTGGACCATTGCACAGGGAGATGTGTAGGTCTGTGTCCACTGTCAGAATGCACTCACCATGCTTCTGGCATGGATGCATCCTTCGGGGTCTGTGTCACTTCCCTCTGCAGGGAGGATGTGAGGCTGGGCTGGCAAAGGGGCTAGGTTATTACTCAGACCTCCTCATTTTCCTGACCCAGCCAAGCCAGAGGCTGTATTGTGGCTGGGACATCAGGTCCTTCCTGACCCCACCAGGGGGGCAGCTTACACAGCCTGTTTACCCATCCTGTTGCCAAGGTTCCCAGGCTGCTACAATGGGCTGCCTCACGCCAACCTCTGTTCCTACCTCTGGCTCCCATCCTCCGGACTGGCCTTGCCTAGACACTCCCATTGACGGCAGTAGTGTGGAGAAACATTTCCTTGAATTCTCAATGCCCTGACCTTCTGCTCTGGCCTCTCTTCCCCTGCCTCAGATCCCTTCCTTTGACTCAGATGGTCAAAGTGATGGGCAGGATTAGGGGGCTGCCTACGAAAGGCAATCAGGACCAGGAGTTGGAAAGAGAGCTTGTTCCTGCTAGAGCAAAAGTAGAGCTCGGAGTTTACTGACTCCTAGCCTTCTAATCCTCCTCCTCCACCGGCATTTCATAGCCTGTCATTCATTTCTATCTTAGTGAGAATAAGTTCATCAGCCTCTCCTAAAAGGGAGAAGTGATAGGAAGCAGCCAAGGGGCATTGCTATGATGGGCAGATGGGGGTCTGTAGACTATCCTTCAGGGACCCTGAAGCTTCCTTGACGCCCCTCCAGCTCAGGCCCTGAGCTAGAAAGCCATTCAGACTTCCTGAGTTCTGAACTGTAGTTCTTCCACTTAAAGTTGTTTGACAACCGAGTGGGCATCTCTGAGCCTGGCTGTCATCTACAAAATGGGAGTAGCAACAGTATTATCTTTTGGGATCACCACCTTATAGATGAACAACGCAGAGAGCACAGAGTGCTGTCCACAGGCCACGTGAGGCCTGTGTCATGGCATCCCCACCTTCCTGAGGCAGTATTATGTCTTTGAGCCTCTCCTCCACTCTGCATCTGCCCTGTATCACCAGACTCTAGGCAGCTCTTCCTTCTCTTCATCTACCTCCAGTCTTCCTACACCGAAGGTCTGTATTTAGGGCTGCTGTCCAGAGCTCTATGTGAGCCTTCAGAGACCTAGGCTAGAAGAAAGGCATCATGGCCTGTGCCACAGCCAGGCGGTGAGGGCTGCTGGTCCCTGTGGCTGGGGCTCACCTCTGACCTCTCTAAAACCAAGAAGCAAAATCTTACACAAGTTTGCCATTGCCCTAGGAGACTTTAGTTGGCACGTCCTCTGTTGCTGTAAGAAGAGACTCCAAGGTACCTTTCGTTGGTCCAATCCTGCCCTATTCCACCCCTATGTTTGTGCAGGGTGACAAAAAAAAAAAATTGCCAGGCTTGTTGGCTGGGTTGGTCCCAAAACTCCTGTTAAATTCCTTTTTTTGTGGTGTCACTGCAGCTGGTCTTAGGGGCAGAGTGCCACTAGGAGGAGACTCATTCCCCTCTGGCTCCTTCTGCTATTCCTCTTGGAGCTTAGGGACAGCTCCAAACTCATAGGAGGGGAGGGTCATTCAGGGCAGGGCAGGCTGTGACGAGCCTGGCTGGAAGTCAGCAGCCTCCTGGGTCACCTCCTCCTTGTGACCCTTCCTTTTCCTGCACCTCCCAAGCTGGCTTTCTCCCCAAGGGCCCTTCACACGGACACTTGAAGACAGGGGCTTGGAGAGTACAGTGTGGATGTGAGGGGTCGTGGGGGGGGCACAGGACTGTCCTGAAACAGGTAAGGAAGGGGGGCGTGGTAACATTCAGGGACGTGGAGTGGCCTGGATACTCAAACACCAGATCGCTGTCAATCTGCCTTACACTGCGGGATCCTGCCAGCCAGGTGTAAAGATAAGGTGATAAGAGCCAGGTGTAAAGGGAGCTCTGTAATGTTGGCCATCTCACTTCTGCATTCTGGTCTTTGGTTTTTCTCATCACACAGTAGCAGTTTGCGCCTCATAGGGTCTCTGTGAGGACCCAAGAACACATGTAAAGAGCATGTGAGTGTGTAGTGTGTGCTTAACCAGTGTTAGCTGCAACTGCTGCAAGTGTGTCATAAGCAACATTGGTGGGACCTTTGTCCTGGGTCATATGGGATGGGTTTGTGAATCTCCAGGATCTGTCAGGCAGTAAAGTAAAGCTGTTCACTGGCATGGCGGCGGCGGTGGCGGTGGGGTTGGTATGGCAGCGGTGGTGGGGTAGCGGTGGCGGTGCACAGAAACACACCAAGCTGTGGGAGCCATTGAATGAGTTTATGGATGAGAGGTCTGTACCAGTGGGAGACACACCACAGAGTCACGAGCCCATGCCAGCTGGCTGTAAACAAGTTTTGCACATGCAGGGGTATGACTTTAGGGGTGCAAGGATTGTGTGGAGAATTGTGCTGTGACAGCCTCCTCTGAGATGCTGAGACTCTGATGCTTCTCTGTAACTTGATGTGTGTCCTTCAGGATACTGTCTGACCCCATGAGCAGAGTGGGTCACAGTAGCCAGCTCCTCCTGGAGTAGCATGAGCCTTCTTCAGACCCCTTGTACTTGTGATCTCGGGGTGGTCCCCAACTATATTCCAGCTAGGGAGTGCATGGCTCTGGGAGGAGGTAAGAGCTTGCCAAGATCATAGGGATAGCCCAGCCAAAGGACTTGGCTTTGGGCCAGCAGACCTGTTTCCAAGCCAAGCAGAGGAGGTTGACACTGCATTCCCTATGACTTTCCCATGTGTGGAAACCTCATTGTAGCTGTCCCAGGGGAATAATCTGGCTGATCACTTCATGTTTTACACAGTGGGTAACTGGGGCAGAAGAGGAATACCACAGCTGGAGTAGTTCTGCACTGTCATTGTGGCCTGAGGGGGGAGCTACAGGTGTAGTAGATAGACAGGGGAGTGGAGCCAGAAAGCCATGAAGCTTTTACCAGGTCTCTACGGACCTCTCCTTTGAGTCTGTTGACTCCGGGGCTTCGCCCTGGATACTTGCTGGATCTCAGTTTCCCCATCTATAAAATGGGGTAGTAGTGAACTATCTGTCTCCTCTGTCGAGGCACTTCCATCTCTCAGAGTCCACGAACTCTGAGCCAGGCTGGCAGGATGCCTAGAAAGACTGTCCCTGGAGACCCATCAGCCTGTTGGGCCAGAACTAATTAGGGTGAGTTAGGAGGGAGGGCAGGGTCAGATTCCTCAAGAGCTAATTAGCTTCCCACAGTGGGGGAGGGGTTTTCTCAGCCACCGACTTAGTATGACCCTGGTCATAGACCGATTTCTCCAGCTGCCTGTGACTCATCTATTCAGGCATCTTTGTTTATTCATTGTCCAACAGTGTCGAGCACCGAGTGTATGCCAGCTGGGCACTGTGGACAGAAAGAGAAATGGTGGCCTCACTTAATAGGGGGCCGACCCCTGACCCCTGTCATTGCCATTTCCCACTGCCTCTTCCCCGAGAGAGACCAGGAACACAGCTATGGACTGACTCAGCCTTTGCCACCTGTAGCTGGGTGGCCTTGCGTCTGTCAGGACTCTTTGAACTTTCTCATAGAAGTTTCTCTCTTCTATACTACAGGCACACAATAGCTGTCACCCAGTGCACTTGGAAGATGAATGAATGCAGTGGGCCACTGTGGCCACTAATCAGGGGTGGGGACACTGCCAGGCTGCCACAGCTACTTTTTCATGTGAATGTATTCTTTCCTTTTTTTTTTTTTTTTTTTTTTTTTTTTTAAGACAGGGTTTCACTGTGTAGTCTTGGCTGTCCTGGAACTCACTATGTAGATCAGGCTGCCCTCGAACTCAGAGATCCACCTGCCTCTGTCTCCCGAGTGCTGGGATGAAAGGTGTGCACCACCATACCTGGTGTATTAACCTATTTTTTTAAAAAAAGTCTTGGAGGCAGGTGAGATGTCTCAACAGGTAGAGGTACTTGCTGTGCGAGCCTGGTGACTGAGTTTGATTCCCAGAACCCATGTTAAGGTAGAAGAGGCCTGACTGCACACCTTATCCTCCACCCCTACACGCTTCCCCACGATGATACAACTTAAAATACCTTTAAAAATAAGTCTCAGTAGCATCTTTCTGTATCAAGCAAATGACCATACTCTGAATTTGAAATGATGAAGGACCCCCAGGAAGGCATATGGAAGGTATTCTGGGGTGTCTTTGCACATTTGGGAATCTTTAGGCTAAACACTATTCTGGGAGTTGGGGTCAGAGAGGTAAACATTTCAGGTGACAGAGCTGTGCTTGAGATGAGAAGATAATTACAAGGCCTTACTTGGTCATGCCTTGTCTTTCTTCCTCTTCCCCTTCTTTAGTGTCAAGAGAGGCAGCGTTGGTGTGAAACACTCTCAAGGGGTGAGAGTGGCCATGGCCAGGGGGCCATGGGAGATGTAATTAGTGAGGTGACTAGGTTTGGAGAAGTAGTGTCTTAGCATCCTTCTAGGGCAGTCCAATGGGCAGGCCATCCTGAACAGTGGATCAGCTTCATCCCTCAGTCTTCATGACAGCTGATTCTAGGAAACCCAAGGAAAGATGAGATTTCAAAGAAATGTGGGAGGGCATGGTGACTGTCTGTGTGTGTACACCCATTTGCTAACTAGGCCTGTGTACTCTCTGCAGCATTAGGCCGGAGCACTAGCCTCACTGAAAAGGATCTGAAGGAGGCCAAGGCGTGGAGCCAGCAGATTGCAGCCCAGCTGACCACCCCTCCCAGCTCCAACTCTCGAGGGGTCCAGCTTTTCAATAGGCGCCGACAGAGGGTGAACGAGTTCACCTTGGAGAGCCGTGGCCAGAGGCCACCAAAGCTCACCCAAGAGGCCCTCCAAACAGGGCACCCTTTGAGCCCCACAGGCCATGCCCCAGAGCTCAGTCTGAGACCTTCATCTTCACCCAAGCCAGGCCCTCCAAAGCACCCCAGCCCCCGAAGCCCCAGCAGAGGGGGCCCTGGCCACATCATGGAGGATTACTCAGAGGAAGCCAGTCTCCTGCGGCACCTGGAGAAGGTTGCCAGTGAGGAGGAAGAAGTCCCACTGGTAGTTTATTTAAAGGAGAATGCGGCCCTGCTAACAGCTAATGGGCTACACCTGTCCCAGAGCCGAGAGCCCCAACAGTCCTCATCAAACCCTCCAGCAACTGAGGTGCACAGTTCAGCTGTAGACATCAACCAGAACCCCTCCTCGCCCGGTGCCACACTCACCACACCAGCGTCCAACAGCCACCACAACCAGCCCACCACCGATGTGAATCAGAATCCCCCGGCCACTGTCGCCCCTGTCCAACAGAATTCACCCCAGGCACAGTGTCCCCCAAATGGCACACCTGATTCCAAACCCAGCACTCCATGTGTTGATGGGCAGGCCCAGGTGCCAGCAGAGGAGGTGAGATCCAGCATTCTCCTGATTGATAAGGTGTCAGCTCCTTCATCTGCCACCAGCACCTTCCCTAGAGAAGCCACGCCCCTCGCTGGCTCTGGGCCACCAGGGGCAGATCTCATGTCCAGCTCCCTACTCATTGACATGCAGCCTAGCAGCCTAGTGGCATCAGCGGAGCCGGAGATGTCTGGACGTGCAGCTGTCACCACACCTACTAAGGTATACAGTGAAGTACATCTCACACTAGCCAAGCCCGCATCAGTGGTCAATAGGACGGCCAGGCCCTTTGGGATCCAGTCACCAGGGAGTACCAGCCAGATGGAGCACAGCCCCATGATGGGAAGACGACATTTTGGAGAGAAGGCCTGGGCTCCCCCGGCTACCACCATGGTGGATAGGAGTCCCCAGCCACAAAGGCACATAATGTCCCGCAGCCCCATGGTGGAAAGGAGGCTGGTTGGGCAGCGAAGCCCAGTCCTGGAGAGGCGCCCCTTAGGAAGCTTCACCCCACCCCCTACCTATGCTGAGACTTTGTCAACAGCCCCTGCAGCTTCCCGGGTTAGGTCTCCTCCCTCTTACTCTACCCTATACCCCAGCTCTGACCCCAAGCCGCCTCATATGAAGAGCCAGGTAGTCCCTGCCAACAAGACAGGCATTTTGGAAGAGTCTATGGCCCGCCGAGGCAGCCGGAAATCAATGTTCACCTTCGTGGAGAAACCCAAGGTGACCCCGAATCCTGACTTGCTGGACTTAGTGCAGACAGCCGATGAGAAGCGGAGGCAGAGAGACCATGGGGAGGTGGGCATGGAAGAAGAACCCTTTGCTCTGGGAGCCGAGGCCTCCAACTTCCAGCAGGAGCCAGTAGCTCGAGACAGGGCCAGCCCTGCAGCCGCTGAGGAGACTGTCCCCGAGTGGGCCTCCTGCCTCAAGTCACCCCGTATCCAGGCCAAGCCGAAGCCCAAACCCAACCAGAACCTCTCAGAGGCCTCAGGGAAGGGGGCTGAGCTCTATGCCCGCCGCCAGTCGCGGATGGAGAAATATGTCATAGAGTCATCAGGCCATGCTGAGTTGGCCCGCTGCCCTTCACCCACTATGTCCCTGCCTTCGTCCTGGAAGTACTCCACTAGCGCGCCTGGGGGCTTCCGAGTGGCATCGCTAAGCCCAGCGCGGACTCCGCCTGCCTCTCTCTACCACGGCTATCTGCCGGAGAATGGGGTCCTGCGCCCAGAGCCTACCAAGCAGCAGCCATACCAGATGAGGCCTTCACTCTATGCTCTGTCTCCCGTCAAGGAGCCTGCCAAAGCCTCATCGCGTACCACCTCATCACGCACTCCATCACGCACTGTCTCACCTCGTGCTGCCTCCCCAGCCAAGCCTAGCTCCCTGGACCTGGTGCCCAACCTGCCTAGGGCAGGCCTCCCACCATCTCCTGCTCTGCCTCGGCCTTCCCGCTCCTCCCCAGGCCTCTACACCGCCCCGGTCCAGGACAGCCTCCAGCCCACTGCTGTGAGTCCCACCTACAGCAGTGACATCTCCCCAGTGTCTCCCTCCAGGGCGTGGTCTCCTCGAGCCAAGCAGGCCCCCAGGCCTTCCTTCTCCACCAGGAATGCTGGAATCGAGGCTCAGGTGTGGAAGCCTTCTTTCTGCTTCAAGTAACACATCCCAGTGCCTGTTTTGCCCTCTTCTCTGTAGGTCAGATGTGGCAGGATGTGGCTCAGGGCTTAGTGAGGAAGATAGGCACCCATGGATCAAGGTCTGGCATTGCCAATAGCTAGCTACGTGACCCTGGGTGGACCATCTCCCCTCTCTGAGCTGTAGACTAAAGGTTTAGACTCCATGGCTGGGTGGTGAAGAGGGTCATGGAGAAGGAATACCCACAGAGGGTCCTGATAAGCAGGGAGTCTTCCACTGGCCTGGCCAGCACAGGGCTGGAAGTCTGATGACAGTGTTTGTTGGGAGAAGACCCAGAGGGGTCTTCATGGGGACTTTTGGAACAGACAACCTTTCTGGCACCTGTAAATCTGCAAGAACTGGGTGTGCCTTACTCATAGGGCTCAGCTCCTGGCATCTGGCTTCCTGCTTCTGGATTCTCACCTTCGCAGGGTGTTTCTTCCCCTCTACCTTCTGGACATTTCCTCTCTACTGCCTCAGAGAGCTTTGCCTGGCTCCACCCCCTCTCCTGAGCCCTCTGCTGCCGTGGACTCCACCACTGTTTGCTGATGCTTGTCTTCCTGCTCTCTGAGACTCTGCTGCCTCCGTGCCCTCTTCTGGACCTGACTGCACTGGGAGGGAAACTCCTGTGCTCAGACCTCAGTACTCCTTCCATCTGCCTTGCCCTGGCTGTTCTGGGGTGAGGGGACATCCCAGGGTATCCCTGAGAAGAATGCCTTTTGGAGGGCTATTCGGAAATGGGTATGATGCTAGGAGAGTGACCCTTTAGTGATATGGTGACCTCAGCCAAGGTCTTCCTGACCAAAATAAGCCAACTCAGTGCGACAGCACGGGGCCAGGGGGAGACAATGGAGGAGTGTTCTAGACTCACCCACACCTCCCATTTGCTGGGTGACTTTGGCCAATTCACTTTTCCTTTCTGGGCGGTAGTTTTCCCATGTACACAGGGTCTTCCAGTTGTGGAAACCACTGAAGATTGAGAGTCTAGGCTGGTGCAGTGGGATAAAGGTCTCAGAGGAACTAGAAAGGTACTAGAAAGGATAGACTGATGTTGCAGGACACAGGAGGTAGCTTTTCCAGTGGCCTGGTGAGGTACAGTCAGAATGAGCTACTGCCGCAGACCACAGTCAGAATCCTGGGCTGGGCGGGCTTAAGCGTGATCAGTTGGTAATAGTGGGAACATTGGCACAGTAGCTCAGAAGAGAGGGACAGAACAGACCCTAGAACTTTGAGGAAAAGCCTTGGACTTAGACGTGGGTTCTGACAGACCGAGTGCGCACCTCGGGCCTCAGTTTCCCCATTCATTCAGAGGGTGTAGAGTCAGGTAGCCTGATACCTCCACTCCCTGCCTCCTTTTGATGTGACACAATCCCCCCACCCCCTAGAACTAGTCTTTGTTGGGGGCGAAAGAATACAGACACAAGAAGACTCATTTAGATAGAATCTTCCCAAGACTCGGGGCTAGGACCACCCACTTCCTCTTTCCCAGCCCTATTTCTGGGCTCCCAGAGGGGCAGGGGTGGTGGAGGCGGTGCCCATGCTGGGCTGAGTGCGCAGTTTTCTTGAGCTTTGCGCTTGTCTCCATGGGAACAGGGGTGCCTTGTCAGTGAGCTCATCCACACACAAGAGGGGATGCATGTGGGAACCGTGAGTGAGTGTGGCTCCTTCAGGCCAGGTCTTCCCAGAACAGGGTAAGCCTCAGGGAGACCCTGCTCTTTTGCACCTGAGGTGGGGGTGAGGGTGGGGGTGAGGGTGGGGGTGGGGGTGGAGGAGCTCCTTCTCCATCCTGCAGCTCTCGCCACCAGGCTGAGCTCTTTGCCACTTGGTTCTGTCTTCTGTTCTCAATACACTCAGTTTCAAATCTGTCTTGCTTCTTTTTTCTGCGCTGTTGCTGCCACAGGTTGGGGCTTCCTCTGTCCTCCCTGGTTCGGGCCTGGAAGTCAAGGGCAACTGCTCAGCTGCCGAGTGTGCCTGGAAGTGAGGTTGCCATGCGCTGCCCAAGAAAGCAGGGCACTTTCTTCCCCTTACTCCTTTCCTGAGGCTGGCCCACTTTGTGTTGAGGGTAGAGGAAACACACTGCCCCCTGACCCGCATTGGTTTGGAGGTTTTTTTTTTTTTGTTTTGTTTTGTTTTTTTTTTTTTTAAAGATAGAGTCTATAGGAGAGGCTGGCCTTGAAGTCATGGTGATCCTCCTGTCTCAACCTTCTGAGATTCCTTGCCTAGGTCTGTTGCTTACTCTTTTTTTTTTTTTTTTTTTTTTTTTTTTTTTTTTTTTTGAGACAAGGTCTCACTGTGTAGCTCTGGCTGACCTGGAACTTGCTAGATAGACCAGGCTGGCCTTGAACTTGCAGAGATCCACCTACTCCTCCATCAGTATGCCTAGTTCTGATATTCTGGGTCTGTTTGAGGGTTTTTTGTTTGTTTGTTTGTTTGTTTGTTTTGTTTTGTTTTTCAAGGGATTGAAATGTCTCCAGTTCCCTCCCCCTCTCCTTTTTTTGTGTAGATTGGACTGTTTCCTACATTTATCATCGATCCTGCCTGTCTCTCCTGGTGGAGACGGCAAGGCTTTGGGATTAATCCCTGGTTCCTGTGTGAGTTTGCATAGCCCTTCCCTGCCTCTGGCCCTGTTTTCCCCTTCCCCTGGTTCTTCCCAGTGTAGTGACTGGGTTGCTGGAGGCGGCCCAGGAGTTCTGTGGTCACTGGCAGTACTGCACTGACCACTCAGCTTTTGTCTCTGTCCCCTCCATTCATGGCCCCACTGAGAGGCTGGGGTGACTGGCTACTACTATCTGAATTTTCACCCATTGAATTTTCAAGGAGTGTGGAAGACACAGTGCTCTGGGCTCTTCTGGAGAAAGTGAACAGCTGCTTCTTTCTTCCTGTCTAAATTGTGCCCCCTCTGCCCTCATGGTCAGTCCTGAGACATGGCAGTTAACATGAGGTCAGGCCTGACTCACCTTCACAGTTCAGCCTGTCCAGGGACAGACTATGTTACTTCATAGTCCTGGCTGAATTTGATGGCTTCCTTTCACTTGTTGGATTTGGCAATCCCCCAGGAAAGGCAGAAACAAAACTTTAGAGACTTTTCAGACACTTCTCACAGCTCTTCCAGCCTCTTCTGATTCTGCCTTAATGTTGTTGATTGGGGTCAGGTGTGATGGCGCACGCCTTTGATCTCAGCATTTAGGAGGCAGAGGCAGGTGGATCTCTGAATCCAAGGCAAGCCTGGTCCTCATAGGGAGCTCTAGGACATCCAGGGCCACACAGAGAGACCTGTCTAAGACAACAACAAAACATTTGCTGACTGACTTGGGTCATGAACTTGGGGTGGCACTCATTAGATAATGGGATATGCCTGAGCCCCTTTGATTGACTTTTGGCTCTGAGACTCTGATCTCAGCCTCCAGTCTTTCCTGTCTCACCTGGGGCAGGGGCTTCCCTTGAAGCTCTTCTCCACAAGCTTGTGGTATGATTCCCACAGGTGACCCGGCTGCAAGCTGGGATGTATTACACACAGACAACAGCTTTCAGGGACTCTGGCTTGTATATGCACATAGATAGAATCCTGACCCTGGGAACAAAGGGGAGAGGAGGCCTTGTGCTGAGTCTTAAATTGCTCCCTTGATGAGATTGGGTACCCTGGAAGAACCTCCATAGATCACTGCAGCATTATATCCCACCAGAAAGTCCTCTTCTGGCTCCTCTAGCAAAAGGGCAGAGGTGGGACTCATCTGGCAGCTTCTGTCATGTGATTGGAGAATATATGCTATCTGCCTCTACTGTTTTCTTTTGATTGGGAGGGACTAAATTCTCCATTGGTTGAAAGGAAGACTGGCAGATTACTGACTGGGTGAAAGAATGGATCTTGTGGGTGATTGCAAATTCTGATTGGGATGAAGCTTAGGGCTGAGATGAATGAACGATTGTTAGTGAATGTGGACTCAACTAAAAGCCTGAGTGGAACTGCTTATTTCTGGAATATGGGTGAACAGTATGTGTTTAGCCTGTATTCCAAAGCCCTCCACTTTCAACCCCCTTATCACTGTTTAAACATGGTATAGCCTTTGAAACACACACACACACACACACACACACACACACACACACACACCAGTTGGGAAGAACACTCTGGGCTGTTATTTACACCTCTTAGCTTCATTTCCATCACTAGTAAAATGAATGTGAAAGTGCCAACTCCCTAACCAGTCTGGCCTAACTTGGAGAAGTGAGAGGTAGGTGATAGATGAGGATGAAGCATGTAGATGGATAAGTACTCCAGTAGGTAGGAAATGAATTCGCTGCCATAGCGGTACAGTGCTTTGTAACCTCAGAGATGTCTACCACCTGGTTACACAAAACCTGTTTCACTGTCCCTGTTGCCAAGAGGTACAAGGAGGGGGGAATGCTGATCTGCAGCCAGGCACCCAAGGCAAAGAAGCGAGGAGGTGACTTCAAAACACAGTAAGAGCTGAAAGGATCCTTCCTGAGGCTCAATCTTAATCGTGGCAGTTGGCATTTCTAAATGACAAACTGGGCTTTGTGGCACATGCCTGTAACTATTCCAGCACTCAAAAGAGGTGAAGGCAGGATCAGAAGTTCAAAGCCATCCTCATCGACATATTGAGAGGCCAGCCTGGGCTGCATAAAACCTTCTCTCAAAAGTGTTTTTGTATATAAAACTATACAATTTAAGATACATTTTTGAGTAGATTAAAAAAATTACCTATGGTTCAAAACTCTAAACATACATAGAAAATAGTAACTTAAAAAGACTCGTTCCCGCTCCCTGTGGGTGTGTGCAGTGTGCCTGCCAGCCCCATTCTTTAACCTTTTCCTGTGTCTTTCCTGTCTGTCCTTATGGCTGTTTCTATTTAGCAGTTCACTCCGAGGAGCGTACTACTGCATGCTATTTCCCTTCACACAAGTTCTTTCCTCCGTACTTCGTGGACACCCCATTATATAGAGGAGAAAGCTGAAGGCTGGAGGACTGGACAATTGCCTGCCCATTCCCTCCCATCCAAAGCAAGCAGTGGCTGACCCCAGATAGCAAAGGCATTTAGGGCTTCTGGATTGAGTTGAGCAACCTGCGTTATTACTTCAGGCACTCCCGGACTGTGTTGGGTGCCTTTCCTATCTCCGAATGATGGACAACCATACTCGATCTTTTCCAAAACCCTGACTCTGAAACACCTGGCACTAAACCTTCCCCTCGCCCTCTCTGCTCTCTCCCCAGGACCGCCCCGAGAGCCTGCCCACGTCCCCACCCTGGACGCCGGGCGCTTCCCGGCCCCCCAGCAGCCTGGACGGCTGGGTGAGCCCGGGGCCGTGGGAGCCGGGTCGCGGGAGCAGCATGAGCAGCCCCCCGCCGCTGCCGCCGCCGCCGCCAATGTCCCCCTCGTGGAGCGAGCGCTCGGTCTCCCCGCTGCGATCAGAGGTGGATGCACGGCCTCCCAGCCGCCAGCTGCAGGCGCTTCTGGCGCGCAACATCATCAACGCGGCCCGGCGCAAGAGCGCCTCCCCGCGGTCAGCGGCCGCCGAGCCCCTGCGGCCCTTTTCCCCGCCGAGGGTGCCGCCGCCGCGCATGCGCTCTCCGCAGCCCGTCCGCCCCGCAGGCACCTTCCGCGGAGGCGCCTTCGCCCCGATCCCGCGGAGTCCGTTGCCCGTCGGGCCTTCGTCCTGTGCTAGTCCCCGGAGTCCCCAGGCCACACCGTCCAAGCCTTTTCCCTACCGCCGCTCGCCCACAGACTCCGACGTGTCCCTCGACTCTGAGGACTCCGGGCTTAAGTCTCCTGGCATCCTCGGCTACAATATCTGTCCTCGAGGCTGGAATGGCAGCCTGAGGCTCAAGCGTGGTAGTCTCCCCGCTGAGGCCTCCTGCACCACCTAAAGTTTCCCACCCTGGGAGGGCCCAGCCAGAAGAGGCACCAAGCTTGGGGGACCCCAACACTGGGACCCCAAAAAGTCTGACCCATATTGGACAGCTCCAGAGAAAGAAGCCAAGGAAGAAGAGCTCTGGGCCTGGGGGTCCTTGGCTCTATCATTCATTTGTGTGAGCCTGAGCAAGAGTCCCCTGTCTCTGACCCTCAGCTTTGGCCGATGCAGTAGTCTCCAGACATCTTCCCCTTCCATCCACACACTTGTGCCTTGGGGAAGGCAGCTGTGCACCCTGCCCTTGGGCCTGCAGCATGCCAGGCTTCCATGCTGTCCCCTCACCCTGTTGTCTGGCAGCCTGGCAAATGAAGTGTGTGTTGAAAGGAACTTAGGCCATGACCCATGCCCAGGCCCTGGCTTGACCACCGCCTCCTGGCACCGAGTCCGAGGCAGGAGCAGCTGTTTTCCATCCCTCCTCAGACTAGCTCTATTTTTATCCCATGACCTTTAGAGAGATCTCCCAGGCAAGCTCAAGGTGCCCTGCCGGGCCCCTCTGGGGAGAAGGATCTGGAAGATTCTCCCTAGATTCTGCCATGCTGATTTCTCTACCCCAGCTCAGGGTGTCCAGGCCATCTCTATGTCCAGGGCAGAGCACATGTAAGGTGCTGAGTTCCCTGGGGCTATGGGTCTCAGGAGTCCCAGACCTCTGCCTTTCTCAGCCTGTTCATAGCACATTTGAGTTTTTTCAAAGCTGGGGATGCGGGGAGAAGAGATGGCAGCCTTACATGGCTGCCCCCAGTCTGGTCTTACCTATTTGGAAAGAGGCCCTTGTTACAGGATGTGTAAGCCATGGCTAGGATGCATTGAGGAGACTCCTGAGGATTCTCACCCTGAAATGCATCCCATAGTATTAGAAGGTGAGGGTGAGGGTGGAGGGGCCCAGGGCTTGAGTTCAGAGACAATAAACCTGGCTGGGAAATCAAGAGACTGTGCTAGTATGGGCCCGTGTTTCCAGCCACCAAGTAAATGTGTCTTCCCTTCAACTTCAGGCTATGGCCTAGTGTCTATACCTTGTCCAGAGGAATGGGTACTGCTATATTCATTTTCTTCACATCTCACTCTGGCCTAGTTCATACCTGTACCCAGTGGCCTTGACGAGCCAGTTCCCTAAACTTCAGTGACTCTGATTCCAATCCTCAAGAATGACACTGGGAAGAATGTAACTGAGTTTTGTGGTTTTCATCATTGGCTGATAGTACCCCTTGAGGTTCAGAATATCAGCTTCAAACTTTGAAACCTGGGGGTACAGGTGCTGGAGTTCAATGATTGCAAATATATGTAGGTAAAAAAAAAAAAAAAAAAAAAAAAAAGACATCAGAATGTTGTTAGAGGCGAGGGATGATATGATTTGGGACAATTAGTAGATTTACTCACACATCAAGGTGATCTAGAACCCTTGAATAAGGCTAGGGGAAGCTAGAATTGTCAGGGTTGGGACAGAGTGCATTGGGGGTAAAGAGGAGGTTCTTAATGCCCATTGTGGGGAGCCAGACCCTACTGGGAAGATGAGGGGGAACTCAGCTCAGTTAATAATAAATGAACACATTTACCAAAGCCCCTACCTGCTGCAGCATCCCTTGTAGCTAAAGAGTCCCAGGCTAGGGATGCCTCCCGGAGAAGAGAGGTATTAGACATCTAGCAGATGCTGCAGCATAGATCAGCTTCTATCTGCATTTCCTCAAAGAACCAGCAGGAGGCAGCTTTGAGAAACTACTGTTCCTGCTGTTCTGGCATAGTGACTGCCTTCTCTGGTATGGTCTCATCTAACACACTAGAGCTTGCCTGTATCCTGCCTCAAGCCTCTTGTAGAATTCAGAGCAATAAATGCTTCCTACATTCTTCTCTCTCCTGTGTCATTTTTGCCTTTCATGGAAGCCTTTCTCTTCTTCCCAAATTACACCAGTCGACAGAATATCTGAAAGTCATAAGAACAGGCAGAAAAACTTGGGACCATAGACATCCTTGTACTGAAGCCTAGGTTCTGTCATTGATTAACTAGATGGACCTGAGTTAGTCATTCCTTCCCCATGTCTCAGCTTCCCCATCTGAGTGATGGAACAGTTGATCTAAGTAGTGTCTTGCAGTAGTACAGCTACAGGAATGTTGTTGGAGTGGGCAGAGCCAAGCCAAGTCAGGGTCCAGTGCTTTTCATTGAAATCAGGATTCCAGTAGGTTCCATGTGAGTTTAGGCAACTATAGCAAGACCAGGGTCTTTGGGAACCCAATTCCCATGGGCAGCCTTGGCTCAGAAAAAGTGATTGTGTTCCCACTTCTAGGTGAGGGCATCCCTCAGCCCTACCCTCTAGATTCAGGCTCAGCAGAGACTGGGCTGAGCAACCCAAGGGGCAGAAAGTTGAGTTCATAGCAGAGCCCAGGATGCTGCCCCAGGCTGGTGTCAGAAAGGCCCCTGGAGCCATGTGCGCCAATGGACTCAGGTGCTTGCCATCCTGTTTCCAGGGAGCTCTTGGTATGCCCACCTTCCCTGGGATTTACTTGGGTGCCTCTAACAAGTCACAACTTCTGCTGGAACTAGTCCTGAGTACAGTCAGTATCCATCTGCCTGCTGGTGACTTCACTCCCTTACCCCTTAGTACCTGGGACTAATTCATCCATGATGGCATGAGCTCACTACCTGACCCCCCTCACCCCTGCCTGCACATCCCTCCCCACCCCTCCCATTTCCAGACCATCTCCAAGATGTCCTCAATATCCTCTCCTCCCCGCTTCTGTCCCCACTGTAAGCCAGCTACCACACAATCTCCCCTGCCTCTAGTCTGGCCCCTTCAACCCTGTATGTGCACAGCAGCTGTTTCTGGGAAATGTCAATCTGATCACCACTCTCTGCCAGCTTAATCTCTTCATCAGCCCTTTGCAACACAGTTTCCTTTTGGAAATCTGGCTCCTGCCCACCTGTCTGGCCTCAACTCCCGGCACTCCTGTTAGCTCCTATCTCTGGCCCTACTTGATAACCCTCCACAGTCTGCAAGAGATCTATCCTTCACCTGCAGGATCCCTGGCCCCTTTGTCTGGTGAACTCCCACAAATCCTATATCCGACAAGATCTAGTACTAATGCCTCCATGGGGGGGGGGGCTTCTCAGCTTGCACACTGAGCTAGCACCATGTTCCCTGCTCCTTTAGCTCTTTCAGAGCAATGCTAGATATGCAGTAGCACAAAGGTTGTTTTATTGGTTAGGTCTGAGCTAGCTGAGCTCCTTGGAGACAGAGTCTTGGCATATTTGTCTTTAGCTCATGGATAGAGGCTCAGAGATAATGAGAAGGTAGTGTGGGGGGGGGGGAAGAGGGAAGGAAGGCAAGAGGGAGGAAAGGAGAGATGGAAAGAAGGAAGGAAGGAAAAGTCAAAAAAAGATATTGGGGCACTATTCATTCATTTATTCCTCTATCCACCCATGCTTCATTCATCCAGCAAACATTTATTGAATTTCTATTACTCCAGACATTAGGATTATAGCAGTTACCAAGCTTCAGCAAATGCAGCCAATCTCCAGCATTCCCGGGTGACTGGAGAGTTCTAATGCGAATGTGTGTGTAGCCAAGGGGTGCAAGGCCTTCTGTTTGCAAGGGCCTGCTGCCGGAGCACCTGTCTTCCCCAGAGTCCAGTGCTCTTAGCATCTGGCCCAGGCTCCTGTTGCAGCCCAAAATAAGGCTGATTCTTGTCAGCTGAAGCCAGCACTGGCTGTAGGGCACACCCTGCTCACTGACTGCTGACCAGGGAGACTGCAATAGACACTGACCATACAACTCCAGCTCACCGACTGAGGTGTTAATCTTGAGGGTCGGACAATCCTTCCCACCTACTGTGACCCCATCAGGTACAGGCATTCTCTTCCTTTGGGAGCTCTTGGGACCTAGGGGGATGGGCAGAGGAGATGAGGTAATTTTCAGGGCCTTGCAGGGGACCTGGAGAGTCTGGGCCTCACAGAGGCCCAGGGTCTGCATTAGGAAAAAGGGAACTATAAGTTCCAGGGTCCTGGACATCAAATGGGAAGGCTGGGGTTAAAGGTGAGGGAGAGGTAATGCCTTTGCAGTCTCCAGGATCCTTAGGCACTGCAGAGAGACAACTCCCTGACTGTGAATTAGAGTCCCTGCAGAGATCCTGTGAGTGTTTATCTGGGGTCAGATCTGAGGACTATGGTGTTCTAGTTCAGATTAGTCAGAGTTGGCACCTGTCAATTATCTTGTGACCTAACCCTCAACTGTGTGCAGACATGCTCAGGCTTGCATTCAGTTTTAGAGGTCCACGGACACCCTGAACCTATTCCTGCAGTTTAGTTCAACCAGCACTGTTAAATCACAAAGGGGGAAACTAAGACACAGAGCTAGTGAATTACCCATTCATCCATGCAGAGAAAGTCAAGGGAGCCTATTGGACTCCTCGGTCAGTATCCACCAGGATCCTGTTGTGTACAGGGGCACAGATGGAGCATGGAAAGACCTGGAAGCCAAGAAGAGCGGCACTGACAGGGGCAGGCAGAGATAAGGGATTCTAGGTTGGGTTTCCTTTTCTGACCCATGTTAGGGAAACTGGGCTGGGAACTCACACAGGTTCTCCAGGGCTTGTGTTTGTAAATCTGCTCCAAGATTCCTAGAAAGCAAGAGAGGGATGGAGGAAGAGTAAGAAGAGATGGCAGGTAGGGACAGCTGAGGGCTGGGGCCTTGAGGTGACGCTGGGAGTTAGGATGGGTGGGCAGGGGTCACATTTCCAAAAGGAGAATGTTACAAAGGGGATGCAGAGATGGAGCCGGTAGTTATACTGGCATTTCCCAGAGATAACTCTGCTGCCATGGAGAGACACAGGAGGCTTTACCTGTATGATTGGACTAGCCTCAAGACCAAGTACCAGTGTATAGACCCCAGAGTAGCCCTAACCTGATTCACAATCCCCCAACCTCTTCCAGTGTCCATTTAGAGTTCTTAGGTCAGCAGATAATTGTGCCTGAGGCCCTACCTTCCCCCCACCCTGAAGCCTCAGGCATGGGGACAGGACCCTAGAGAGAAGCCCTTAAAGAGAGTGATTTCCCTCTGATTTGTGTGATCTCCTGGGTACACAGTTTCCTCTTTCCTATAGAGACCTCAAATGCCCTTCAACTCCTCTAGCCTTTGCTTGTGACTATGGTCAGCTCAAGACTGGCACTGGGTGACAAGGACTTGGAGGTTTGGGGAGAAAAGGCTTCCTAGGCCATTTGTGGGAGTTTTTCCTCTGCAGGATGATCCCCAAGGAGCAGAAGGAGCCAGTGATGGCTGTCCCGGGAGATCTTGCTGAACCAGGTAAGGTGGACCCAGCCCTCTTTGCTCCCACAAACTCTTCTTGATCTCAGGTTATAGCCATTCAGCCTGCTGGCCTTAGGGCCAGCAAGCAAGTGAGGGTCCCACAGCAGTCTCTAGAGATGTCTGTGGAGTATGCCACTGGGCTAGGATCCTTTCTGAGGCTTCTGTGGGAGCTTATCCTTCTCCACTACAGCTGAGCATCTAGACTGGTCCTTGGTTCTAAGACCACTCTGTTCTCAGCCCTCTCTAAGGCCTAAGGCTCCAAGGACTCCCTCTGGTTCCAGGTTCAGCCCAACTGTGGGTCTCACTGAGGCCCAGAGGCAGGACATGTAGCCCAGCCCCGTTTCTGGGAATAGGAGTGCATGTGTGTGTTGGGGCATGTGGGGACTGGAGGGAAGGTGGCTCAGCTGGCCTCAAACCATTTTACTAAAACAAGGCTTACTTTCATGAAAAAAAATCACCCAAAATCCACACTTGGCAATTTTATAAGACCCCCTTTGAGAACTCCTGTTATAATCTTGGAGTTTATTAGGGCACTTTAAATATTCTAAAAATTAATCCAACTAAGTTGGGAGTTTCAAGCATTCATATGACCTCAATGGCTCTGTGTTGCCGGTTGAAAGCCAGATCCACAGCGTCGTCTCCTGGGACTATGGTTTGGTGCAGTTGGGGTACGGCCCACACCATTGTCTTTTGAATTAATGCCCAGGTGATTGACATGGATGGCAACAGAGACATTTGAGTAATTGCTCCTGAGTTCTTTTGCTACTCAGTCTTGGTCAGAGACTGACAGACTCAACAATTGTGTTGTGTTGTTGTTTTAATCTTTTCTCTTTGGCTCTTTTGGGAGGCCCATCACCCAGGTCCCAAAAATCACACAGGGAGACTTTTTCTTACTTATGAATGCCTGGTCTTAGCTTGGCTTATTTCTACCCAGCTTTCCTTAAATTATCCCATCTACATTTTGCCTCTGAGCACAAATGTAACACATCTTTAATATTCTGTAACAGTGTGGTTTAAAATTTATTTTTAGGAATAATATTTTGAGACAGGGTTCCATATATCTCAGGTTGGTCTCAAATTTGCTATATAGCTGACAATGACCTTTGAGAGTGCAATGTGGTGGGGATAAGCAGGAGCAGATGGATGAGTGAGCACGTGCTCGTGTGTGTGTGTGTGTGTGTGTGTGTGTGTGTGTGTGTGTGTGTGTGTGCGCGCGCGCGCGTGTGTGATACTTCCTTCAGCAGGCCCTATCTCCTCAAGTTTTCATAACCTTCCTAAACAGTGCCACCAACCAGGGATCAAGTATTTAAATAGTGAACTTATGGGGGACACTTTTCATCAAACCATCACAGACACTAATGACATTTTAAAAGTTAAAATAGCCATTGGAAAGCAATAACGATCACTGGGCAGTGTTGGCACATCTCTTTAATCCCAGCACTTGGGAGGCAGACAGATTTCTGAGCTTAAGGCCAGCCTGGTCTACAGAATGAGTTCCAAGATTGTCAGGGTTACAAAAGGAAACCCTGTCTCAAAACCTACCCATCCCCCAAAGCAATATCAATCAAAGCACTTACCATTATTTCCGGGTGCTATGGGATAGACACCGTGTTAGAAGCTTTTCTGTATTAAGCCACCTGAGCTTCACAACAGCACTAAATTACATATTTTCATCCTGGCTCTGCAGATTAGAAACAGGGCTCAGACGGGCCAGGTGGTCCTGATTGGAAGGAAGCAAAGTTGGGATTTGACTGTTGGTTTCTCTCTGTCCCCAGATCTGCTGCTTCTATTGTGGTTTTGTAAATAACACATCCAATTAAAATATCTGGACAAATGACCAAAGAGATGGTTCAGTGGTTACAAGCACAGGCAGCTCTTCTGGAGAACTGGGGTTCCATTCCCAGAATCCATATGGGGGCTCACAACTATTTATAACTCCACTTCTAGGGGATCTGACTCTCCCGGCCTTGTGTGGTGCACAGACCTGCATTCAGGCAAAATATCTAAACACAAAATAATTGTTTTTGAAAAATTCAAGCAAAATACACATGGGTGGCTTTGAAAGTCCTTCATAATGAAACAATTTGAATATGATGACCGCTGTCAGCATACTGCTGTGGAATGCATGTGCATGCATGGGCCGTGTTCTCCAGCTGGCTTTCTCTTTCCCTTCACAGCACACCACAGGTTTCTTTCCATCCTGGTGTGGTGTATTTTGCTCCATCCCCTCTGCCTTCTCCCTTAGCATATCATTGTTTGCAACATGTCATATTTATCCAAAAAGTCACGATGGTGGTCCCAAGGCTTGCCTTAGGTGGGATCCTTGAAAGAAGAGTCTGGGTGCTCTTGTGCAAAGGATTTAGCTTAGTTGTAGAGTGACTCCTTGTTGACAGTGACAACAGGGACAGCAGGCACAAATTACTTGCCATGTAAGCATGGAATGGAGACCTGAGTTCCAATCCCTAGCACCCATGTAAAATTCATTCTTTTTTTTTTTTTTTTTTTTTTTTTTTTTTTTTTTTGTTTTTTTGTTTTTTTGTTTTTTTGTTTTTGGACATAGGGTTTCTCTGTGGCTTTGGAACCTGTCCTGGAACTAGCTCTTATAGATCAGGCTGGTTTCAAATTCACAGAGATCTGCCTGCTTCTGCCTCTGCCTCCCAAGTTCTGGGATTAAAGGTATGTGCCACCACCGCCCACCTGTATTCAGCTTTCTTCTATTTAATTGTTGTTAAAGGTTTTAAGCTGTGGTGGTGGCACATGCCTTTAATCCCAACATTTGGGTGAGGCAGGAAGATCTGAGTTTGAGGTCAGTGTGGTCTATAGATTGAGTTTCAGGAGAGCTAAAACTATACAGAGAAACCCTGTCTCAAACATTGTTTGAAAGACGTATTTATTTGTACTTTATGTGTATGGGTATTTTGGCCTACATGTATGTGTAGCACATTCATGCAGTTCTTGCATGGTCGGAAGAAGGTGTTAAATGTCTCCACCACCCACCCAGGAACCGGAATTACAGACAGTTGTGAGCTGCCTTCAGGGTGCTGGGAACTGAACCTGGGTCCTCTGATGAGCAGCCAGTGCTCTTAAATGCTAGGCCATCTCTCCAGCCACCATTTGTAGTTTTAATCAGGACCCAAGCGAGGTCCATGGTTCTTTCGTGGTTTCGATGTCTCTTAGATATCATGTAATGTATAACATTACTTTCCTCTTCTTTCTTTTTCATCCCTTCTCTTGTCTGAAGAAACTAGACAGCTGTTAGCTACGCTTCCCAGCGCCCTGCACCCTGTTTCTGGCTCATGGCCCACTTGTCCACATCAGTTTTCTCTAGCCCTCTGCAGTCACACTTTCACAGCCAATGCCCTATGGATGTGCTTTAGTGGGGATCACCGCTGACCCCCACTTGGTACCTCTGACGGTCAGCCTTCCAGTCTCATCTGCTTTGACATGTCAGCAGACTTTGATTCCTTGGGCTGTCTCTTTCTGAAGTCTTTCAGGATTTGGTTTCCAGGTGCCCTCTCTCTGCATTTCCTCCTTGCTGCTCCCCACCCCAGGTTTCAAGGGCATTTTCCTACTCTGCCGAAATTGGGGCTAAGCTGTTGGCTCTCTAGATCTGTTTTGCTTTTTCCCTGACTTCATCCAGCCTCCTATCTAAAAACACAAGAGACTCTCTCTCTCTCTCTCTCTCTCTCTCTCTCTCTCTCTCTCTCTCTGTGTGTGTGTGTGTGTTGGTGTGTGTGTGTGTGTGTGTGTGTGTGTGTGTGTTTTTCCTGTGCTGGAGGAGATTGGCCTCAGGGTCTTACACATGCTAGGCACTGACAGACACCCCCACCCTGAATCAGATGTTGAAGTTGGCAATGTTAGCTAAGCTGCCCATATAGAACCCTCGTCCACCATCATCCTTAGCAAGCCATCACTGTGCCTTCCAGGAGGCTTTTTCCTTTGTTGGTTAAATATATACTTATGCCTTTTGCTCTTAAGGAAGCACAAGCAATGGGAAGGGACCCAAACACTTAAGGACAGTCAGCAGCTCCGAAAATCTTCTAAGTGGGGATAATGGCCGATTCTAACCACGAGAAGAGAGATAAATATAAGGTTCTTCATTGAAGCACAACACGAGACAGGCCTGGGGGTGCGTCCTTGTTCCCAGTAATCCTCAGCTATATAGCAATTTCATGGACAGCCTGGGCCACACAAGGCTGTGTCAAGACTCAGTGGGAAAGGGCACTCACTGCCAAGTCTGATGAACCGAGGAAGAGAGCAGACTCCTGCACATTGTTCTCTGGCCACCACAGGTGTGCTATGGCACACTCTACCCCCAGGAACTTACTAAATAAATAGATGAATGTAATAAAAACAAAAGGAGAAAAAAGGGAAGAAAAAATGAAAACAATAGCAACAACAACTATTGTTTATAAGATCACGTTGTCCCAAATTTTAATCTGTATAGTCTGCTTCCTTTGAACACTAGCATTAGACTCTCAAGTCCTTCTCTGACATTTCCATTTGGATGTCTGTAAGACTCCTCAGACTGGAAAGGCCCTTGCTGTTGTTCCTGTTATTTGTCTTTATAGGCACTTACAATGCAGCCTGCCTTGAACACAGTCATTTCTCATTCGTCTCTGAGAATATTCCCAACTTTGCAGATGATTGGGAGAGTCTGAGTAAAACTAGGCAAAGCAAAAATATTGTCTTAGTTTACTTTCTACTGCTGTGACAAAGACACCCTGGCCAAAAGCGACCTGGGGAGAGAAGGGTTGATTTGTTTCCATGTCTTGATCACAGTCCATCATGGAGGGAAATCAGGGCAGGAACTTGGAGACTCATGGGGAATTGCCATTTACTGGCTTGCTCTCCATACCTTGCTCATACTGTTTTCTTATACCAACCAGGATCACCTGCCCAGGGTTGAGATCACTCACAGTGAACTGGGCCCTCCCACATCAACCAAGAGAATGTTCCACAGGTTTTCCTACACGCTAATCTCAGTTTAGGTGGCCTCTTCCCAGATGATCCCATTTTGTGTCAGGTTATCAAAATGACCCAGGAGCACAAACATAGTCACTTGGAAAAAGGGAACTTTTTGAGCAATCACATCACAAGGCATTTTTGCTATGATTTCACTCAATCTTATATAAATATATAGTGACGGAAAGGGTAGGAAAGCGTGTGCATCTCTGGGTGGGAGATAATGGCATTTTTTTCTTACATCTATACTTTATAACTCTCTTAAACAGGTATGCTGTTTTAATAATGTTAAAAAGACAGTTTTTTAAAATTAAAAAGACAAAATTTGGACTTGTGGTATATATATATCAGCACTCAAGAGATGGAAGTAGGAAGATTAGTGTTCAAGGTCATCCTTACTAAATAGCAAGTTTGAAGCCAGCCTGGGCCGTGTGAGACCCTATCTCAAAAACCAAAAATAAATATAAATAAATCAGTAAAATTGAAAGAGCATGTCTCAAACAAAACTCCTCATCTTTACCCCAACTATCTCTTCCTTCATGTCCCCCCCTTAGTGAATGGCTGCTCCACCCTCCCACTGGCTCTGATTTTAAGTCTTCCCTTTCTCTTACTCTTTCTTAATGTGGCTTTCCTTAAACAGCAACAACAAAACAAAACAAAAATCTTAGAGTCTGATCTGTTCTCACTACCAATATAGGCAAAGAGGTGCAAAGGGAACTCACAGAGTAAGTATAAGTGGCCAAGAACCTCAAACAGCATTCAGCATCATCGAGCATGTGCCCACCACTCTCTGAGGTGCCTTTCTTAATCCTCAGATGGCAAGCATCCCAAAGAATGATGATGCCTAGTTCTGGCAAGTGTGGGTCTTGGTGCTGCTCAGGAGTGGTGGCAGGGCTATCTTGAAGTCAGAAAGTATGAACCCCCTATGACCTCTCCCACAGTCCCTTCACTGGATCTGGGGAAGAAGCTGAGTGTGCCTCAGGACCTGATGATAGAGGAGCTGTCTCTCCGCAACAACCCGGGATCCCTCCTCTTTCAGAAGAGGCAGCGCAGGGTGCAGAAATTTACCTTTGAGCTTTCAGAAAGTTTGCAGGCTGTGAGTAAGCCATCACGTGCTCTTGGGGAAATCAAGGCCAAGGGGGAGCCAGTGGATGGTGGAGGGTGGGTGGAGTAGGGTGTTCTGCATGCCCTCATTAGATAATGCCCTGCGCTGTTTACATCAGGTCAGATGCAGTTCAGCCTTCACTTGGTCTTAGGTGGGAAATGTAGAAGGAGAAGGCCACAGAAGAATCGACTGACAGAGAGGGAGTTAAGAATGGGGGCATGGTGTTGCTCAGTTGGGTGAATGCTTGTCTATCGTCCCCATCAACACACAAAACCAGTGTGATGCTACACACTTGTAATCCTAGCCTCTGGGAGGTGGAAGCAGGGGGATCAGGGTTTCAAGATTGTCCTTGGCTACAGAGCTAGTTCAAACCCAGCCAATCCTGCCTCAAAATACAACAAAATAATGGTTTGCTGGTGGTAGGTAATTTTGGAAAATACTAACGAAGTCCGGGGCATTCTTTCTTTTACTACTCAATTTCTGGACATTACTGGAGTGGGGAAGAGGTAGGAGGAGAGAGATGGCAAAATGGCCACCTTTGCCAGGTGCCTGAGACAGTGCTTGCTAAATTAGGTGTATATGTCGTCATCATCATACCATCAGTATACCCTCCCACCCTCTACCCCCATCCCTCCATCATTACCACCACCACCAAACCCACCGCCACCACCCTCAGAAGGTAACTGAGGCTCAACAAGTGTTTTATTCTGACTAGATTTACAGTAGCAATGAAATCTATAGATGTTTCTCCATCACAGGCACTGGCTCCTTCATCCCTGTGAACCATCTCCAATCCCAGGCTGCCCTGTCCCTCCACATCCCTTAGGTGGTGATGGTGAAATCCTGGCCTCCTGCTTCACTGAGCGTCCCTGCCCACTTATTCCCCCCACAGCTCCTGGCGAGAAGTGCCCAAGAAAAAGTGGCTGGCAAAGAGACCCTGGGGACGGTGAGAAGGAGATACCCCTTCCCCCATGGAGAGCTACGGGAAGTGACAGACCTGCTAAGAAGCAGCTGGCTTAATGCTCCTCCCTGTGCTCAGGTTCCCAATGGCTCTGAGGAGCAGAACCACCGCTCCGAGCTCCATGTGTTCCAGGGGTCGCCAGGGGACCCCAGGATTGCCCACCCGGGAGTGGCTGGGGTTGAGTCGGTCCGTAATCCAAGCGCCCTGGCACCAGGTGAGTTGTCGCCCTGTGTCCTGGGGCACAGATGGCTCACAGAATCACAAGTGTCCCAGGTTAGTCACACAGTGAATCCGAAGTTTCAGAATTTCAGCGTAGGCTGGAACCCCCTGCTGCAAACGTCCTGGGATTTGGAGTCTGCCTTGTGCTCATGTACCCCACCCCTACTTCCACTCTCTTGACTCCTCTGCCCCACCCTAGCCATTCTCGCTCCCGGGATGGGAGTGGGAGTGATGGCAGTGCCTGTCACCAGCGCCACTTCACCCCCAGGCTATGCAGAGCCATTGAAGGGCATCCCGCCGGAGAAGTTCAACCACACCGCCATCCCCAAAGGCTATCATTGCCCATGGCAGGAGTTCATCAGCTACCGAGACTCCCCGAGTGGCAGCGGAAGTCGCACCCCGGTTCTGCGAGACTATCGAGACTATCGCAACTTCAACAAGTAAAGCCAGGCTGCATGGGACGTACAGGGCGGGGAGGCCTGTGTATTTTCTGCTTACTAGCTGTAGCCCCAGCACTTCGTAGATGTTTACTGAGATCTTGATAGAGCAGTGCCAAGCACCTATTAGGTGTTCATTGTGTGTGTGTGTTGGGGGGGGGGTGTTGGACATGCCATATCTCTGTCACATGCTGTTGCAAGTACCAGATTCCTCTCATTCTACAATGGAAAAGACCACACTCAGGCATATGAACACCCAGCTCTGTTGCTCCTCCCACCTGTAAAATGCAGCATTCGCAAGTACATAAGGCTGCTCCGGAGATGATGTGAGAGGTCCTAGAGGTTTCTGTTGGACAATAAGCTAGCTATTTCTAGCTACTGTAATTGCTTATAGACAGAAATGATGGGGAAAGTGAGTGGGCAAATGGGGCAGAAATGGGGGTAACTGTTCTGGGAGACTGGAAGCAGAGCCCAAGTCCCAGAAGGACGGATCTGTAGAGGGGCACCAGCTGGGGGTGTTTCCATTGTAGTTGTCTTTTTTTTGTCTTGAGGATGTTTCTACAGTAAGTTAGTAAGGGTTCAAAGAGGAGGCTGCCAGCCAGCCCTCTCAGGGCTGCTGAGACCACACAGGAAGATTGTCTGAGAGGCAGGCATGGGAGGGTGTGGCCAGGACCTAAGAGAAAGGATGGAAGGATGGGGTCCTTGAGAATACACAGTAGAGAGAGACTTGACTGCTTGAAACAGCTGACTGGGCAAGGAGGACTCTCATAGGAAGGACTGGGCAGAAGAGTCTGTGAGAGTCTAAGTTCTCCACCAGGCAGAATTGCTGTCCTCACTGCTGCTTGACCATTTAACTCGGCAGCAGGCCTAGTCGTGGCAGCTGGCTTCCTGACTGGCTGACTTGGAGGCTTGCCTCACTCATGTGTCTCAAAATGGCAGCTGCAGCAGGAGGGTCCTAGGGAGGCTCCTTCTGAGAAAGGAGCAACTGAGGAGGCAAAGGAGGAATAGCTCCCTTGTGGACAAGCAGAGCCCAGCCAGGACTCTGGATTCCCAGCCACGGCTGTGAGACCTGCTGGGCTCAGACACTGGCCAGCCTGCCCCAGATGGGTTTAGCTGTTGGTGGAAAGCTGGGGTAGCACTGCCCTGGCGGGATCCCAGACCCTGGCCAAGGTTTGCAATTCCACCCAGAGGCAAATCCCTTTCCACTAGGCCCCACTGCAGGGGAACTGCAGGAACACTGCTTTCTGTATTCTTGTTTGTTTTGTTTTGTTTTTTTGTTTTCTGAGACAGGCTTTCTTTGTGTATCCCTGGCTGTGCTGGAACTCACTCTGTAGACATGTACATGCTGGCCTTAAACTCATAAAGATCCACTTGTCTCTGCCTCCTGAATGCTGGGATTAAAGGTGTGCGCCACCACTGCATTTTTTATTCCTCTCTCTCTCTTTCTTTCTTCCTTTCTTCCTTTCTTCTTTCTAGATTTATTTATTATGTATACAATGCTCTGTCTGCATGTTTGCTTGCACACCAGAAAAGGGCACCAGATCTCATTACAGATGACTGTGAGCCACCATGTGGTTGTTGGGAATTGAACTCAGGACCTTTAGAAGAGTAGCAAGTGCTCTTAACCTCTGAGCCATCTCTCCAGTCTCCCTGGCATACAATTCTTAAAGAGGACTGTGGATGCAACTGAGGGATGCACTTGCCTAGCATGCATGAGGCCCCATGTTCAAGGCCCAGCACTGCTCTTTCCCTGCAAGAGGCTTAAAAATCACACACAGCCTTAGTAAACTGTGAATGAAAAAAAGAAATAAAACGGGGGTGGGGGGGGAGAAGGAAAGAACATGACTGCTCTTCTAGTGGGGAAATTTTATTGTAGATATGTGGGAGAACATAGCCAGAGGCAGGGACATCTGGGAGAACCCAGAGTGGATGTGACTCTGAAGTAAGCCATTCTCGGATCCCTGCTTTCTTGGCAGTGGTAACACGGTTCTCACGATGCCCTATGGTCCCAGAACATTTGTACTGGCCACTGCTTAGCAGAGGATACCATTACTGTGTGTATGAATACTTTGTTTCATTGTATAGCTTGTCTTTCTTCACTTAGCTTTGTGCTAAGTGCTAAGTCCACCACTCTCATACAGATGATTCCCACTCCCTTGAGTTTCTGGGTGTCTCTGGCTTGTCCACCCCTACACAAGAGGTGTGGGGCTACTTCCTGCTTGTTAATGCCCTGCTGTCTGTTTCCTCACACAAGCACGCAGGAGCCTCCCCCAGCCATATGCTTAGAAACAGAGTTGCTGGGTGACGGTTTACACATTTTCAGGTTAAAAGCGATTCTGCTAATTTATCCTCTGAGGTAAAGGCACTGAGTTACCCACAAACCAAAGCAGCAGATGATGAGTGGAGCTTTGTCCCTGCCTCCTCATGTGGGTTTATGTGGGGGAGAAGGGTTGGGCTCTGCTTGTTACTAGAAGTTTGCTCATTCTTGGAGCTCCTCCGAGTCCTCTGTCCTCTGGGTCGTGGGTATTTTGTTGTAAGGGCAAGTGAAAAAAAGAGAAATCCACCTTCCAGTGTTGTTCTCTTCTGGCACTGACTGGAGAGAGCCTAGAACTTTAGGTCACTTCTAACTACAGAGGCAGGACTAAGAAAACTAATGATAGCACAGATCTTTGCTGCCTAGAAGGGGAAACTGAGGCCTCACGTGTGCATGTATATTACCCCTCCTTCACACAGGCCATCTCTTCTGTTTTTCTTTTCCAGGACCCCAGTGCCATTCGGAGGACCCCATGTCGGGGAAACCATTTTCCAAGCAGGCACCCCCTTTGTTCCAGAGCCCTTCAGTGGCTTGGAACTCCTCCGCCTCAGACCCAGTTTCAACAGAGTTGCTCAGGGCTGGGTCCGGAAGCTCCCTGAGTCTGAGGAGCTGTAGCCTCAACCTGAAGCTCCAGTTCCTGGGCTTGGGAGGCTCAAGAAGCATGTTTATTATGTTTATCTCTACTCTGCTTATTTGCTTTTCCTTTCTCTTTCTCTTTCCTTTTTTTTTTTTTTTTGTTCTTAGCTTTTCCCCTGCCCCCCACCCCCCTTTAAGACAGGATCTTGCCCTATAGCCTAGAGTGGCCTGGAACTTAATATGTAGACCAGGCTGATCTTGCCTCAGCTTCCCAAGCACCAGGGTTACAAAGTGAGCATACCAGGCTGACTTTCATCACACACTGAATATTCATAAATGTAGCAGTTCAAAGGTCACTGGGTTCATTTGTCCTCAGAGTAGATGTGCATCAAGCATTGGGTCTAATGTGGATTTGGGACTTGTTCTAGACTCACAGCCTCAGATCTGCCTGTGATAGGAGGTGTTAGTGTCAAGTACTCCAAGTGGCTTGTGTAAGTTGCCTACGGTGTGTCTCTAGGAAGCTATCCCCATGCCTGGCTCTGCCTGGCCCCAGCAGCTGTCACTCACCTGATGACATGCTCAGTAGTAGTCTATATGTGGATTGTTCTGATCATTAGGAAGGAGTAACTTGGGAATGCAGCAGTTTGTAGAATGTTTGCCTAATGTGGCTAACACGCATACAAAGTCCTGGGTTTGATTCCTAGCACCATGTAAACCTGGCATGGTGCATAGGCCTAACATCCCAGCACTTGGGAGATCGAGGCAGAAGGACTGAAAGTCTGAAGTCATTCTTGACTGACTAAATTTAAGACCGGCCTGGGCTACAGAAGACTCTATCTTTAAAATAAAAGGAAAAAAAGTTGTTACTTAGGCTGGCTATGAACTGTAGCAGAGGACGACCTTGAACTCCTGATACTTCTGCCTCCATCTCTCAAGTGTTGACATGTAAGATGTATACCCCAGGACTTCCCACTTACTGAGACACAGCTGGCTCTCCTCTGCACGAGCTGTGTTTCTGAAACATCTGCTCCATGCTAGACAGAGCCAGCCAAGGTCTTGAGGGGAAATGATAGGGAGATTTACAAGGCTTTTGAATTCTGACAGAAGAGAGCAAAGTGACATGGAGCAGAAAAGCCCTGGGCGAGTTGGTGGCATTTCTCCCTGTGTGGGAGAGGGGGATTTCAGAAGGAAAGGGAGCCCACCAAGTCCAGAGAGCATTTTGGCATGTGTTGAGGGGAGAATTAAAGAGTTAGGTGTTTTGGATAGGGGAGAGGCTGTGGTGGAGTGAGACAGTGGCTCTACCAGGTAAAGGAGGAAGAGGTTAGTGATGGCTTCATTGGAAAATAGCTGGAGATCGGAAAGTCTACAAGGAGCAAGGCTTGGAACAGGGAGAGAAAAGGGGGCTCAGCCTGTGACACTCTACAGAATAGGTACAAAATAGAACACTTGCACCTTCCCATGCTCCATTCCGAAGATTCTAGTTTAAGTGGTGAGGTTGCCACTGCGGACAGTGTCCTGGTGTTTCTTCCCATACTTTCTATAGATGTGGATATCCATCTCTAAAAGGCAGTGAATTGTTTGGACTGGAGTCAGGGTGGAAGAATCAGTCCATCAAGGACCTTCTATCAAATAGAGACCATTTCACTGGCTGAGTCAATGCCAACTCATTCTAGAATTGTGGAGCAGTGATATATCTTATAGGGACCAGGGGCACCCCACTAGACAGGATTTGGTTTACTCTGAGTGGTGTGAACTTGGGGAAGCCATTTCTCACTGAGCCTCTACTTCTCTACTTGTAAAGGAAGAGACAAGTATAGGTCTTCTGCAGGGCGTGGGAGCACAGTACGGGACAGTCCCAAGTGCCCCACCCCTCCTGGTAGAATAGATCTGCAGTTCATACCATTTATAAAGCAGGCTGTGAGGATGCAGGATTGATTCCAGGTCAGTGTGAGGCTGATGTCAGGGTTCCCTTTGACAGGAATCTCTAGCCAGGTTGGATGACACAGTAACTGTACTTTTCTTTTGCTCTGGAGTTTTGCTCCCCTTCCTGGTTCCAGGGAACCAGTAGCCCAAATCTTGGGATTCCTTGCAGTTGATGTTTCATTGAGAGCCAAGTTTCCATAATCTGTAGACCGACACCACCTGGAAAGTAGGACTTGGCTTGTTTGTGAAGCTCTCGGGAAGGAAGTATGCGGACAGTGCAGAAGACTCCCTGGGAGGGTGGGGTTCTGTACTGTAAAGTAGGCCCTCGTTCTTTCTTCTCATGTGATCTTTGCTACTTTATAAGATATGATCATTGTCTGTGCACACCCATGTACCTTCCTACCCCTGCTTTATTCCTGCAGACCACAGATAAACCACTGGTCTTTAATGGAACCATACCACATGTGCTATTAGTTATTCAACAAGGATATTTTGGGTCCTGAAAAAGCAAATAAACATCTCATGTAGTTTGGGAACCTAGCAAGTCCTTCATACAAATCTCTAATTCTGTCTCCTTTTCTTTACATAAAGTACCAAGACTAGACAACAAAACATTGAGCGGCCTGATGGATGGAGTTGGCAGCAATGATCATGAAGTAGTAACATGTTGCACAGAATCAGAGCAGTGAGCAAGGCAAGCCAAACAGACACCCGTATGGTTACTACGCACAGAAACAACATAGAATAGTGGTCTCTGGAGGGAAGGGTTTGTGGATGTGTGTGACTAGATCACAAATATCTCTGGGACGACTGGAGGCTCTCTATTTTTAGACCTGGCTGACTGCCACATAGTTTAAGACGGTTGGTCTGTGTTTTATGCACTTTTCTGCATACATTAAAAAGATCCCTTCTTTAAAGTTATTTTCAGTCCCCAGAGCCACCAAAAAATTTGAAAAAGCTAAATATATATTACAGATAAATTCATTATATCACACATGAAAAACTAATAACAAGTTCCCATGTGTATCCCTGAGTTAAAAAAGATGGAAAGTACGAGAAAAGACACACAGAATGAAATGCAGCTCAGAACTAGCAACACTTTTTAGCAGCGATGGCAAACAAGCCATGCACTGGCTCATCTGAGTCATCGTGGCTGCAGAGGGAACACATAGGACCCAGGTGGACACTTATGGGTGTGTCTGTGAGGGTTTCCAGAGAAGCCTCAGTAAGTTAAGAGAAGACCTGTCTATAATGTGGGTGACACTGTCCAACTACTTGGGTCCTGGGTGGCTGGAAAAGAGGGGAACCGCCTAACCCTTGATTTCCAAGTTACATATATAAGCTCTAAAGCACAGATTTTAGCTAAAAAATGGCATTAAACACACTTTGGTTTGGCTGTTTCTTTTTACAATGGCTTGTGTAAGAACAACACTTAAAATTACCATTTATTAAAAGTCACAGACAAGACTCTATAAATTTTTTTTTTTTTAAAAGACAGGGTCTCACTATGTCTTGGAACTCACTATGTAGCCCTGGCTGGCCTCAAACTCATAGAGATCTGCTTGCTTCTGCCTCTTGAGTGCTGAGATTAAAGGTATGCACCACTATACTCAGCCTTCTGTCTGTTCTTATTTCAACCCCACTACCAACATTTTAGTATTAAAAAGGCTGGGTATTGGCCGGGTGGTGGTGGCAGCTGTGTTCATGGCAGCTGGTTTTGGGCCCACTGACCCTCTGACACATGTGGGGAAGCACAGCTGTGTTCTCTGACTGCCCACATCTGAACACATTCAGCTACCATGGAAACTACAAAGCAAGGAAAATTATACGTATCCCAGGATTCATTTACTGGGATTTTAGAGTGCCCTTTCTTCCTCAGAGCCCCTGAGTAGTGATGCTGTGTTAGGGGCTGCTGTGTTTTCCAGCATGAGCTCCCATCCTCTGAGGGTCCTGAGAAGGGTAGTGGATTGGTCCTGGAGCTCTCATGAAAGGAGGGGGTGGTCCCATTGGGTGGAACATATGTGGTCCAAAACCTGATGTGGAAGAAAAAAAAATTAGGCTTGCAGTTCCCTTGACAACCTTCCAAACCTCTGAATCTTTCTAAGATCAAACCCACCTACACATAAATCAAGGCTGACATAATGTTAAGTAAATGTCGTGCACAAAACCTGCTTAGGAATATCTATTTATATTCCTTGGTTTTCCCCCTCAGCCCCCAAAAACTTCAGACTCATGCACCTGTTAGTATGTCACTGGACTGTCTGCTACTAATCCAACATAGCAAATCCTACCAGACAGGAGTCAGATCAGGATATGGGAGACCAGAAAGATCCCATGTCAAGATCCTTTCTGTCATCATTAGCCTCAATGCTTGATTCCAGAATGGAAACAACTTTCTTGAAACATACAGGCTCACATTCAAAAGAACACTAGCCACCCACTATTTCCCACATTGTTCACACTGTCATGGACATTCACAGGGTGCTACCACTTCAACTGTTTATTAGTGGCCACTGACATGAAAAAGAATATGAGCCCAAATGTAACTGATTCCATGATCAAGTCTATGTCATTTACATGAGTTTCTTTACAACAAATTTTTCTGCTGAAAGCAGTGGTGTTCTGATTCCCATACTGATATAAGGCCCACATCCTGCTGTGGACAGCTAACAGTGCTCTAGGACATCAGTTAGGACAACTTTTTCAATGAAAAACAGGCTGGTGGCAGATGCCTGCAGTAACTCCTACCCTATCATACTCATGCTCAGATTTACAGAATGTGCCTTTCTTCTCCTAGGAGTCCAGAAGAAGCGTAAAGTATCAGGACTCTCATCTACAGAGCAAACACAAAGGACCTAGCTGCCTCAGACTCAATTCAGGTGCAGTACTTTTTACAAGGCCTTCTCTGGGCCAGGAAGGAAGAGGTCAATTACCTGGAGGTGGGGGTGGGGCGATCCCAGGGGGTGGGGGCAGGGCAATGTTCACCACTGCTGGAGGACCACTTGGGGGAAGGTTGAAGTAATTGGCAGATGCCTCTTCTTCTGCTGCAGGAGGAGGAGGTAGAGCTGGAGAGGAAATAGCAGACACTTAGAAAAGAAGACAATCCATACCATATTTCCACCATTTATATCCTGGGTTTGCTGCACAACTGACAGAGTCTGGCCTCTTCTAACAGAGAAACACTAGCTGACTGAGTTTCCATCAGCAAGAAGTTCACACACACTTACCTCCAGGAAGCCCTGGTACAGGCTCTAGCTTGATCCCAGAGTCTGTAGTTCCATCCTTCTCTTTTTCTTTGCCTCTGGCTGCTTGGGATCTGGAGACACACATGCATAGGACATCAGTGCTGTCCAGCCTTCTTTCACACCACTGCTTAACTCATTCCCAGGAGGATGGGGTTCCAGCACTCCTTCCCCTTTTAGCAAACATTCTTTTCCCACAGATGACAAAGTAGAGAGTGGTTAAAAGCAAGGTTTTGAAGGTGGAAAGATCTGGGTTCAAAACTACTCCCACTGGCCAGACTTGGTGGCCCACTAATCCCAGCACCTGGGAGCTAGAAGGCAGATCTATTTGCCTTCTAGGACAGCCTGGTCTAGTGAGTTCCAGAACAGCCAGGGCTACACAGAGAGATACTGTTTCAAAAAACCCAAACCAAAACCACCATCCTTGCTAGAGAAGACAGCATTCATGAGTGCAGCGAGTGCTCAGCACACAGAAAGCACACTCCACCAAGGGAGCTGCTGTCAGCCTGCTCCTCTCTGCTTTCAAGATGTTACTTATCTCTCTTATGCAGTCAATTTCAACCTTAAAACATATATTCTTCTGATTATCCCTTTCTTTACTTCTCCAGCACTCAGGCTCTGAGGGGAGAAGCTAGGTCTAATTCAACTTCCTTGGGCAACATGGCATTATGCTTGGCTCATAGTGGGTGGTAAAACATGAACTCCAAAGGAGCAGGTTATAGGGCAAGACCTTAAATACATTTCTAAAGTAAGGTGCTTCCAACAGTCATAGAAATCAAATACTAAAGAAGGGGGCTGGCGGGACAGCTCAGCTGTTAAGAGCTCTGGGTGCTCTTTCAGTAACACTGGGTCAACTGCCAGCACCCACACAGTGACTCATAAATACATGTAACTCCAGTCCCAGGGGATCCAGCACCCTCTTCTGGCACCAAGCACACAACTGGTGCACAGACATACGTGTATGCAAAGCATCCATACACATAAACTAACTAAAATAAAAACACTAGAGAAGGATCTTTCAAAGATTTTTTTAAAGGCCCTGTCTAACCTGTTTACCCAGGCTTTCAGTCTCCAGATGAAAACAGTTTAGAACAGTCTGGTTCATACCTTCCCCATTTTACGTTGAGTCTGCGGCCATTCACGATGAGCTTATTAAAGGACTTCTCAGCAGCCACCTCAGCAGCCTGCCGAGTGGCGAACTGAATGAAGGCACACTGCTGCCTCTGCACAACTGTGATTGTTCGGATCTCTCCAAACTGGTAGAAGTGATTTCTGAAGGAACACAGGCCAAGAAAAACATGTCAGCAACCCAGCCAGATGATGCCTTGCAAAACGGAAATGGCCTATGAACTTAGAACGTTCTGGGTCACCACTAGACAGAGTTTCATGCCAGTCTAAGCTATAAGACCCTGTCTAACAACCATAAATAAAGATCTATAGATAGATCAATAAATAAATGACTCAAACAAAGCAAGTCAGGCCTGGTGGATAATATTTATCATCACATGCACAGGTAAGAGGATCAGAAATTTAAGGTCATTTAAATTCTCCAGGTTAGCCTGAACTATAGGAAACTGTATAAAAATCTAACAAAAAGGGAGCAATATCCAGAAGAGATCACAGGCACCCCACTGAGCCCAAAGTATTTTCTCTAGTCCTTTTATAAAAAGTTAGCTGGCTCCTGGAGATTACTAGCTCAATGAGATAGGGTTTGACAGGGCAGGAGTCTCTTCTCTATTTCATCTCACTGGAAAAGATATCTCATCTAGTCAAGCACTGAATAAGCCTAAAATACAAATTAAATCATAATCTCTGCAAAATAGCAACAATTAAACCAAAAAAGTTTCAGAGCCATAGTGCTCACTACCTTCCATAATAATTGGATGTGTCATCCTTTAAGAATTCAAACCAGGGGCTGGAGAGATGGCTCAGAGGTTAAGAGGACACACTGCTCTTGCAAAGGACTAAGTTTGATTCTTAGCACCCATGTCGAGTGGCTCACTACCTGTAACTCCAGCTCTAGGAGGCTCTAACACCTATTGCCTCTTTGGGTACCTGCAGCCACTTGCACAAGCCTACATATACATCACACATACACAGCAATTAAAAAAAAAAAAGAATCCAAATTGACTACCAGGCCCACATTTTATTTTCTGATGCAAAGATGAAAAAGCACTCTTGAGAAATACAACTATACTGATATCATAAAAAAGAAATTTAGCTGGGCAATGGTGGCAAACGCCTTTAATCCCAGCACTTGGTAGGCAGAGACAGGCAGATCTCTTGTGAGTTTGAGGCCAGTTTGGTTTACAGAGCTAGTTCCAGGACAGCCAGAGCTGTTAAACAAAGAAACCCTGTCTCAAAAGACAAAAAAAATTTTTATACAACTTTCAGTTGGCATTCATATCGATGACAGGATGGCTTGGAAATGAACCTGACTTAGAATTATCATTTTTGGTGTTTGGTGGTGTTTTTTGCAAACTATTTATTTCAATGCAGTTAAAAGCAAAGGCAAGTTCTGAAATGATGCCCACAAACCTGAGATCTGTCTCAGTAATGGTGTCTCCCAGACCACCCACATATAGAGTGGTGATGGTCTTATCCTCTGGTGGGTCTAGACGAGGCATGGTTGAAGCCCGCTTTAGAAGCTTATCGGCTACAGGATCATTAATTCCATAGTACCGGTCTTTGATATTCTGATCAGCAAGGGGGTCATCTGGATCAGTAGGTTTCTCGTGTCTGAAATTCACAAATGGAAAAGCACAAAGGTGAAAAGAAGGGAAAAAGGATGACTCTACAGGAGCTACAAATGCCTTTCAAACTAGAAACCATGTCCACACAAAAATACTGTTACTAAACAAAAGACACCAAGGGATTATTATACCACACAAAGACTTCCTAATGGGCTCTCATTAAAGCTATGGACTTCACCTCAGAAAAAGGGCATATATTTGGGGGAGGTTTACAGCTGACCAAACATTAGTTGGAACCCCTGATTTTTGATGTTAGGTAGTCTTGGTTGAAACAAAAGTAGCCTGTGGAAGTCTGGTCTTATTTTGAATTCAATTATATTTTGCTACTGAAACAACTTAAATGATGACACTAAATTATCTTAGAAACTTCAAGGTCAGCATGTACCTTATATGACATAGCAATTTAGTTTCTCTTAGTCCTTAAGGAGAAAATATAATCTAGCTCTTGTAAAATACCCTACATGCAAACAAACTATAAGAGCTTTAGATGCTAAAGCATGAGTTTAAGCTAGAGTCTGCCACTAATCAGTTGTCTGAAAGAAAGCACAGGAAGTAAGCTCAGTTCTTACCTGTACGGACACTCCTCTCCTCTCTTACACTCTCCTTTCACCCAGAAGGAACAAATGTGAGGCCGATTCCTTTTGTAGTATGGTGTGGTCCGGGCCAATTTGAGCAGCATGTCACTGGTGGATGTAGCTTTTCCCAGCATGCCAACTGGTCGTGTTCCATCAGAGTTAGAAATCTGCATGAAAGGACAACTTTATATGCTGTCAATTCATTAAGATTTTTATCAAATATAAAACTACCTCAATCACAAGGTCCTGGATTCAATCCCCAGCACCACATATCTGTCCCCTCAGACAATGACATCAAGAAAGTGGCCAGAGGACTAGAAAGTCTAGTGTTAGATTGTGTTTCCAAGAAATGACATGGAAGCTATACCCATGATATCCTACAATATAGCTGCCTAAATCAAAACATGAACAATAAATATACTAATTTGAGGGTGTGTGGCACATGCTTTTAACCCTAGCACTTGGGGAGAGGCAGGCTTGGCTGTGAGTTCAGGGCCTATAGAGTGAGTTCCAGGATAACCAGGGTCACAGAGAAACCCTATCTCCAAAAAAAAAAAAAAAAATTAGATCTACTAATTCAAACAAAGGAAATCTCATGGGTCTCATCCCTAGAATCCCTAGATAAAGAACTATAGGCAACTAATGACTGCTGAGAGAGAATCAGTCTCTTCTGGGGATGAGCCCTTTAATTAGTTATCCAATACAAAGTGGTCAGCCTTGAACTCATATGCACATAAGTCACATTAAATGGACTTAGCAGATTGTTTTTATATTTGCATATATTTGCACACTCAAGAACACACAAACATACAAAAATAATAATCAAAGAAAAAGAGGCCATCAATGGGGGTGTTGGGAGGGAGAAGATATAGGAGGAGTTAGAGAGGAAGTAAAAGAATTTTATTTCAGTTAAAATAAAAAACATACTTCTCTTTCCATATTTTGTGTGTAATATTCTTTGTTGACATCTGATTTGGGCATGTCATCTTTAAATGACAACCCTGCATCACGAACTTGGATGGGTAGGCCTGTTATAAAGAAATGGAGGGAAAAAACATCATATAAATTTGAAAACACATTCATGCTGAACATGTAAACTACAACATCATCCTTCCCTCTCTTTCCTACTTGGTTGGTGACAGAGATGGTCCAGTGGTTCAGAGTACATACTGTCCATGCACAGGACCAGATTGCAGTTCCTTTTAACTATGCAGGGTGGCTCACTGTAACCCAGCTCCAGAAGCTGACACCCCTTTCTGGACTCTGCCCCGCACTCACATGTGCATACTACTCCCACAAAGATCACCCACCTACTTGGTAACAGCTTACAATAATTTAAAACCAAACTGTTTAGCACCATCAGGCTAACAACTGCTATAGGCCACCCCAAGAAACTGTCCAAATTCCTGTGCTGTCAAGGAGTTTGGTAAGCTGTTTTAGAAAATCGTATCAAAGAACAGAATTTAGCCATTGTCAAATAAGTTAAAAACGTATCTAGCTTTAAAAATTTACTTAAAATCCATATAATACAATGATTTATTGTTAAATTGGTCTTGAAGGACCTATGGATAGTGTTATATTAATGGGTCACTTACTGCAGGCCTGAATGCTCCTGACAAACACAAATAATATTAAACAATATGTAGCCAGAACTAACTAGCATACACACATACATATACCCCACATACCTTTTCTTGCTGGTAGATTACTTTTTTTGAAAAGGAAAGTGTCATTTACATTAAAAAAAAAAAAAAAAAAGTTCCAGAAGCAGATGTTTTGAAATAGTAGCAATACACAGTTCTAACAGTATGGTTAAAACAAAAGTCCCAGCATAATTAGCCCAGGAACTTCTTGTTGGGACTTTAGAAAAAGTTTTAGATCAAGAAAAAGGACCCAGCAAAGAAATGGCCTATATAGGAGCAATGCCTTTTACCCCAACTGACTACAGAGATGGAGGTGTATGTAGGTCAGTTCTAGTTCTGATTTCTTCCCAACTGTTCCTGTTTCCTACTACTGCTCAGGAGGACTCCACAGCAGCCTACTGTGAGTTTACTACGCCTGGGAAAAGCAGATCACAGCAGACACTCTATGGTGGGACCAGAACCAGAGATGGGGAGAAGTGGGAGACATCAGGGTACATCTTGTATAGAGTAGTTGTATACTTTTCAGGTCTAGTGGATGTGGCAAACATACCATACTCTAGGTCTAATAGGCAGGTCTGACAAACATTCTTCAATTTACTGCAGGTTTGGCACACTTCAGTCTTCTTGAAACGCATGCGGACCCCAGGGCACCAACGAAACACTGTGAATGGTCTGGCACAGATCTGAACACACATCAAGAATCATAGAATGTTAATGGTCCTGACCTGGACTCAATCTGGATTTACTAAGTATGGAGAGTTGACCTTAGGTGGTTACCTAATGTACATGTAAGCTAACCCTCAATTCCATTTACTTTCTCTTTTCTAGTAGTTAAAAAGCTTACAAAGTACAAAAGTAACTATTCAGAAAGTCAAAGTCGTCCTACCTAGAGGCAAAAAAAAAAAAAAAAAAAAAAAAAAAAATCCAGACTATCTTTTTGGTGAGGAATAGGGAAATCGAAGCAGAAAGTATTATGTCTGAGAATACTATGACAGTCCCCACCCTCCTTCTTAGCTGAAATGCTCCTGTGTAGTAGTCAAACAACACTGGGCACACAAACTCATGGTCATCAGTGTGCAGACTCAGAAAAACCTGTTTATGAATCTACATTAGAAGGGTCCTTTTCTTATTTCCCATACTAGCTGTCAGTCATTGAATTATCAATAATACATGAAAGGTGTGAGCATGGACTCTGTTGGAAGGACCTCAAAACTTAGTAAGTACAAAGCCAATTTGGTAGAATAAAGGGAAGGAAAGGGATTAAAAAAAAAATGAAATAGTTACTTCTTAACAGGTACACTTACTTTGCATTCTTTTCCATATTTCTCTTTGGTCTGAAATAGAAAAGAATTGGAATTACATCAGAGAAAACAAACAAACAAAAGAAACTAACCCAGGCATCTGCTTTTTACCCCCCAAATACAAAATATGCTATGTGTCTGGAGATCCCTGGCACTGTAAATAAAGATAACCAAGCCAAACCTAAATCATCTTTTAGTTGGGGGGTACGATAAGGGATACTGTAAAGGTTAGATCTAATTGTTAACTTGACATACCTAGGATCAGCTATCTAGACCCCATCAGCCCATGGGCATGTCTATGGGTTCTAGGTTTCTACAGTTGATGTGGGAAGATCCAGCCTGATCATGGGCTGCACCATTCCCAGAGTTTGGACCCCAGACCCTTTAAGTGAAGTAGCTCAGCACTAGCAAGCACACATTCGTTAATTCTCTGCTTGTGACCTGAATGTTGACCAATTGCCCAGACTGCCCCACAATGATGGACTGCAACTATGAACTGTAAGGCAAATAAACCCCCTCTCTCCTAAGCTGTTTGTGTCAGGGTCTTTTATCATAAGCAAGAGAAATGGAATTAAGACAGCTAGACCATCAAGGTCATATTCTCCTAAAAGTACATGGACCTAATACTAAGTAAGTATCTTCTCAGAGCTACCACTCTTAGATTTACTTCTGGCTCTTAAGAACTAAAATTCCTAATGGAAACACCATATGTTCTCTTACACGTGGAACCTAGATTTCAAATTGTGCTCTCTGTGTGTGTGAACCTAGAAAAGGGATCCTGCTTGGCAGTGGTGGCACATGCCTTTAATTCCAGCACCGGGAGACAGATCGGTCTACAAAGTGAGTTCCAGGACAAGTTCCAAAGCTACAGAGAAACCCTGTCTTGAAAAAAACAAAAAGTCCTGATTGGGAAGAGTGTATACACACATGTGTATGTGTGTGTTTGGAAGCTGGATTTAAAAAAAAAAAAAAAAAGGTGTCATTAGAATAAAGAAGGGTAGCCAGGTAAGGTGGTGAAAGACTTTAATCCCAGGACTTGGGAGGCAGGGACAGAGGCTAGCCTGGTCTATAGAGTGAGTTCCAGGACAGCCAAGGCTACGCAGAAAAACCCCGCCTGGAACCACCCCCAGCAAAAAGAAGGGTCAACTGGAGGAAATAAGAAAACTAGGCGGAAAGGGGCAAGAAGAAAGCTGGAGGGCAGTGGGAGAGGAAATAATTGAAAACAAAGTATGACATGTGTATGAAAAATGACAAAATAAAACCTATTACTTTATATGAGAACATAAAAAAAATTAAAAAAAAAAATCAGTTCTGGGAGGTGGCTATTTCAATGGCTACTTTGTTTTCCAGGTAAAAACTTGCAATTTCCTTTGACATCTCTTGAGGAAACTGTTTTAAACATTAATCCAACCATCTGGTTTACAGGGGGAGAATGGTATCTATGTGCTTTAAAGAAAAGACAAGGTCTCACTACATAGCCCTGAATGGCCTGGAACTCACAGAGATCCACTTGCCTAAAGGCTGGGATTTAAGGCAAGAATCTCCTGCTGCTGCTGCTGGTGGCACACACCTTTAATCCCAGCACTCGGGAGCAGAGACGGACAGGATCTCTGTGATTTCAAGGCCAACCTAGTCTTAATGAGTCCCAGGACACCCTCCAAAAAAAGGTTCAGGGAAACCCTGTCTCGAAAAACCAAAAAGGTAAACTCTCCCATCAACAGACCTACTCTCTAGGTAGATGCTCAACAAGTATTAGCTGTTACATTAAGGCTCCAACATTACAGAATTATTGCTCAGTGTCTAGGACAGGAAGTACGGATGGCATTACCTTGCAAGTTGTCCTGTACTTCGGGTTAGTAAAAGAGCATCAATTCTTCTAACGGCCAAGAGAAACTTTACAATCAGCGTGCATGGACCACAATATTCTGTACAGTTAACTCCCACTGCACAGGCAAGCACTCACCATTCGTATATAAGGGTTTTCTCCAAGACAGGTCTGACACAGTATGGGGAAGTCCTGGGGAATAAAATGGGAAATATGGTTGAAGATTAAGTCCCGAAGACCTTGCTCCCTCAGTCACTTTCTGGGACGGAGAAGGATGCAAGATTGGCAGGAGCCCCAGCTCCGGCACTGGCCGCGGAGCGGGAAGGGGCGCTGTCTGCACTTCCGGCAAGCGGGAAAAAAAGCATTTGTGAAGTGTGGAGTCGCCGGGTGGACAGCGCTAGTCCCGGGACCCTGCTCCGCCGCACGAGGGCTCTCCTCCCGCTGCCCCGCCTGGCTAGGCCGCAGCGCGGCTCTGGCCGATCCCGCCGCAGCCCGGGGCATGGTCTCCCATCCCGCCCGGCCTCGCAGCCCCCGCGTCCTTCTCCGGCGCGCACTCACCGCGTCCTCCCAGTTCTGCCTGTTGTAGGTGTTGGAACCCAGAGAGGTCGCCATATCGGGAGTCCCGAGGCAGCGCCGGCTTCCGATTCGGGAGACCGACCGCCACAATCCCGGCAGACTCCGGGCGGGCGCCGCGCTACGTGTAATATGCGCGCCGAGGGCGGCCGCGGGGCGGGGCCTCGCGTCAGAGCGCGGCTGTCCCGGCGCTTCCGCCTGGCTGCCTCGCGCGCATCCTTGCTGTCAAAGGATGAAGGAACGGATGGAGGACCACCGGCCGGGGTCCACACGCGGTTAGTGACAGCTAGGCACTGATGTCTCCGTCTCTCACGCCCTCAGTAGTCCTCCCGTTGTTACACTTAGCATACAAAAGTACAGAACGTCTACTAAGTTTACAGTAGAAGACAACGAATCACTTCGGTATAGATGTTGGGCATTCTTTATTCTACAGCGGATTCATTGTCAGGAAATCATATCTAACTAGATAGCCCTTGTCTTATGTTGTCACCCTAACTACCATTATGGCTAGGATGGTGGTTCCTCTTTTATATAAAAGGAAATTGAAGTTAAGATGAATGCCCCCTCCCCCTTTTTTTTTTTTTTTTTTTTTTTTTTTTTGGTTCTGGAGCTAAAAATATGATGAAGCCACAGATCCCAAGACAGTCTTTCTAACTTTTTATTATATTTTTTAAAAAAGATATTTATTATGTATACAGTGTTTTTCCTGCATGCCAGAAAGAGCACACAGGATCACCAGATCTCATAGATGATTATGAGACACCATGTGGTTGCTGGGAATTGAACTCAGTACCTCTGGACGAACAGCCAGGGCTCTCGAGCCATCTCTCCAGCCCCCATTTTTCTAACTTCTGACATGAAAAGGGTCTTATAAGTCAGAGCTTTCAAGTTTTTAAACTCCCAACCATTCTACAAATGTTTTGAGACAGGGTCGCACTATGTAGTCTTTAACTTGCTATGTAGACTAGATTGGCCTGGAACTAAAGATCCTCTTCCTCTGCCTCCTCAGTGCCAAGATTTAAAGCATACACTATCATGTCCTTTTCTATATCTTTATTTATCTCGAGGCTGGGTCTCACTACGTTGCTCTCTGGTCTTGAACAGTAGCACAGGAAGGCCCTGTCTGAATTTGTAATATTCTTTCCTAAGTCTCCCACATAGCTGGGATTATAGGCCTGTGCCACCAGACCTGATTATTTAATAATAGATCTAATCAGTCACTAAACTGCTCAAAGATTTTCTTGTATAGTTATTTTTTTACATCATATTTTCATCATCCCAAAGGTGTATTCCTCCCCCCCCCCCCCCAGTTTTTCAAGATATAGACAGGGTTTCTCTGTGTAGTTTTAGAGTCTGTCCTGGAACTTGCTCTATAGACCAGGCTGGCCTTGAACTTTGAACTCCCTGCCTCTGCCTCTTGAGTGCTGGGATCAAAGGCTTGCACCACCACTGCCGGGCTCATCACAAAGTTTTGATGTACTTGTAGGCAGTCAGCTAAGCACCATATTCAGCCTACATTAGTAATGACTGATTTATGTTCTGTTCCTATACAGATGCTCCTGGATTTAAGGTTGAGCCCCATTGTGTGGAGTTTGAACCATCTAGTCAACTGGGTTGATCTAGGTTGTGTTGTTTTGATGGCTCCCTTCAGGGTATCATGGCTTTCCTATCCTCTATCATTGTTCCTTAGGTTTCTTAAGCTATAAGGCACCTGATTGATATAAGAAGCTGAATGGCCAATAGAGAGGGAGGAGGTATAGGCAGGACTTCTAGGCAGGGAGAGAAAGTAGGAGGAGGAATTTAAGCTCAGAGAAAGGAAGGGAAAGAGACAGGAGGGGCCAGCCAGACATGGAGGAAGCAGGAAAGACATACAAAATGAAAGGAAGGTAAAAAGCCACGAGGCAAAAACATAGATGAATAGAAACAGGTTAAATTAAGTTGAAAGAGCTAATGGGATAAGCCTAAGCTAAGGCTGAGCATTCATAATTAATAGTGAGTTTTATTTGGGGGCTGGTTGGTGGCCCAAAGAAATCTCTAAATATATTTGTGTAATGGTGGGAATTTGGACTTGACAGTTGTGAACTGCCACATGAATTCTGGGACTCAACACAGGTCTTCTGTACAAGCAGCCATATCTTAACTCCTGAGTCATCTCTTCTGTCCTTGCTGGTGCATTCTTGAAAATCACAGCATTTATGTTTACAGAAAAGATCATTTATGATACATGGCTGAAATGCAATTGCTTGAGGGTTAGCGTTTGCTCTAGATTGCTCTTTGAACTGAATGTAGAAGAAACAGATGACCAATGTACACTCAAGGATTTGAAGTAAAGAAACCACTGAAATGGCTGCTCCATCATTTGTGGGAAGGTTTTTATTATAGGTAAGAGAGAGTGAGGACATCCATAGACATCTGGGGAAGTTCAGAACTGAGAGAAAAAGAAAGAGCTTGCATGTGGCCAGGGCTAGGGAAGCCAAGAAGATAGCAGAAATGGTGGGAGAGTCCTGTTGGTTAAAAGGGGTTATGTTGCAGTGGGGAGGACTTGGGGAGGTGAAAGGAGCCAGGTTAGTGTGGGGGCTTTAAGATACATAACAAGTATGTGTGAGTAGGGACTGAGGGAGCCTGGAGGTCATTACAAGCTTTTGATATGTAACCAGTTATATGTCAATGGAGAGTCATATATCCCTTCTGTCACAGGCAAGGGAGATGATTCCTTTTGTAGAAGGGAATCCATTCCACAAGTTCTTGATGAATACTGGTTTTTATCTAATAGAAATCCTTCTATATTCTAGCTTGAGCTAAGCCAAGAGTATCATTTCTGGACATATGCATTGTCTGAGACCTAACATAATGGATCTGGATTTGATTCATAGGGAATTTGCAACCTATTAAAGGAGCTATGTGCATTTAAAACCCCACAATGCAAGGAAATTACATTTATTTATTTATATTTTTCAAGACAGTTTTTTTTCCCCCCCTGTGTATATATCTGGCTGCCTTAGAACTTGCTCTGTAGACTGTGCTGGCCTCAAACTCAGAGATCTACCTACCTCTGCCTCCCGAGTGCTGGGATAAAAGGTGTGTGCCACCACTGCCCCTCTAAAATTACATTGAGATGGGAGTAAAAGTAATCCTGACATACAGAGAGAGGGAAGAATATTCTAAATTGAGATGACACCAGAAGAAAACACAAAGCATTTGGCAAAACATCTGATAGAATACAAAAATGACAAAAAGGGAGACAGCTCAATGGTTAAGAATGCTGGTTGATCTTTCAGGGCGTCCACATGGCAGCTCCGGTTTCAGATGATCCGACACCCTCTTCTGGCCTCCATGAGTACTGCACACATGTACAGATACACATAAGGCAAAACACCCATACACACTAGTTCAGCAAAGTTAGGGATGTCTACTCTTGCAGGAATTTTGGTCCATTAGCCTCCAAATCATGGCTGGGTAAGTGACACCTTTAACCCCAGCACTTGGAAGGCAAATGAGGATGATTTCTGAATTTACAAAGTGAGACTGTCTCAAAACAGTTGGCTAGCTAGTTTTATATCAACTTGACACAAGCTAGAGTCATCAAGTGAGGGAGCCTCAATTGAGAAAATTCCTGCATAAGATTGGGCTGCGGCAAACCTGTAGGACATTTTCTTAATTAGTGATTCATGTGGGTGGGCCCAGACCATTGTGGGTGGGAATGCCCCTTGGTTGGTGGTCCTGGGTTCTGTAAGAAAGCAGGCTGAGCCCAGCATTGGTGGCACACGCCTTTAATCCCAGCACTCAGGAGGTGCTGCATCTCTGTGAGTTCAAGGATAGGTTCCAAGGCAATACAAAGAAACCCTGTCTCGAAAAACAAACAAAAAAGAAAGCAGGCTGAGCAAGCCATGGGGAACAAGCCAGTAAGTAGCACTTCTCCATAACCTCTACATTAGCTCATGCCTTCAGGTTCCTGCTCTGTTTGCGTTCCTATCCTGACCGCCAGTGATTTGGAAACATAAGCTAAATAAACCCAACACCAAGACACCACCTGGATCTCATTTAACTTCCCCCATGTTAAGCATAGTTCAGCTTCCAGGTCCTTGGTTTTTCAAGCTGCTGTTGGGACAGAAGCCCAGGAGAGTCAGAACCCAGACAACAGAGGTCCCAGGAGATGCCAGCAGGACACTAGTTGAGCAAAGGCCCAGTCAGGAGTGGGTAGGCAGATGCTAAGCTGCCTTCATGAAGGAATCCATGTTAGCTCACCTCTCAAGCCCTAGGGGTTTGTTCATATACGTTTTAAATAATGGAGATCCTTTCTGGGTTCAGCAGAAAACAGATTTGAGTAATCAGGTTCTTTGATGCTGGCTACTCAACAGGAGGGAAAGCTGGGATAGGAGATCCAACAGCAACCTGTTTTATTTATTTTAAAGGATACCTTTGCAAGTAATGAGCTAGGAGATAAATGCTGGTACATCTACCCATACCCGTATAGTCCAGGAAATTACCTTTTTTTTTTTTTTAATAGGGTCTCTTTGCAGCCTAGAATTCACTATATAGACTACCTTGAACTCGCAAGAGATCTGCCTACCTCTGTCTCCCTAGCGCTAGGAGTGTGCCACCACAAGGTAGGGGCTTGGTGAATTACTGCATCAAGTTAATTTACATAAAGAATGAAGGGAGGGGCAGGAGAGCATTTGCAGAGGACGGTTCAGTTCTCAGTAGGTGGCTCACGAACCACCTGTTAACTCCAGTTCTGGAGGATATGCTGCCTTCTTCTCATCTATGTTCCCCCAAATAAAAATAATAAAAAAGAGAGTCTCACCTACCAACTGATTTTAAGCCGAGCAGTGCAGCTTCTAACCAGCATTTGTGAAATCAAACAGAAGACACACTCAAGCTTTTATCTGCTTTATTTCACTATATTAAGCAATAAGGCAAAACAGTAACCTGTTATTCGTAAGTCAAGGAGTGCCTTTCCTTCCCAAAAGGGATCAAGAAGGATGCTTATTACAAAGATGCAATGGCATTTAGTGCAGTATGCTTATAACATACACTTAGAACAAAAGACAATTTTGGTAGGTAATCAATTCACAAACCCAAAGTAACTTAGCCTTAAGTTTCCAAATTGTAGTTTCAAGTGCTAAGGACACCTAACTCTTGTGTCCTGATGTGCATTGACTAGTAATAAAAACCCTGCACCTGGTCTAATAATGCAAGAAGGTCGATGGACACAATTCCTAATTCACCAGCGGCAGAAGTTGAACCTTTTCTAGGAACACAAGACCAACTTGCATTAAACTCACCTTGAAACAGCCAACAGCTGTTATTTGTAAGTTAACTTGACTTTTTAAACAGAAATTGTATATTCATAAGTGTTTTTGTGTTTATCACTTGGGAATAGATCCATTATGTCAACACTTTTCTAGGAATTAAGTATGTTTCACCACATAAAAAACATACAGAAGACAACTGTTCTTGTCTCCACAATATGTGGACTTACGAAGCTATATGCATTTTGACCCCCAACCCCAATTCCCCCACCCCCAAGCAGACACTGAGTAGTGGTTTTACAGTAGGCTTTAACTTGAGGCTTTGTGAAGTTATGGAAAATCACTCTGCAGTTTGAAACTTGTGATTACCCAACTCCCTGCTCTAGCTTCTATGAGGCTAAACATTAGTTACTGTTCCCATAATATTAGAGATCAGTATTTTTTTTCTTATACTGTAATACATATATTACTCTGTGGTGGTATTGTTTCATAAAATTGGCTTGATCTTAAAAGAACATAGTGCCTTTCAATAGTTTCCTAAATAGTTTCCTCTTTTAAGGGGAACTACCAAAGATTATTTTCTATCTGTAGTCCAGATTCTCTATCCCTTCAAACCAAACCAAAATACCTAAAGATATAAAATGAAAACTAAAGCAAAGCAGGGTTTGTAAACAGGAACTTTGTCTTCTAAGGTCTGTCGGCCATGTGCTAGGAATACTTTAAGGAAAACCGGTCAGCTGGTCTACTCTGCCAACATGTTTTAGAAAACATGACAGAAATTAAGGTTTGCAACTGAACGTTAGTATTTGAGGAAGACAACGTGTCTGGGGTTAGGCCAGCATTTTGGTTACTTGCTGAGCTGCTATGGCTTCCAATCAAAATGGTCTCACTTGATACAGCACGAGAAAGAAGTCTTACACCCACGAAGGGAAAGGTTCTTTTACTTAATATCCAGCTTTGGATTTAAAATTTTTATAGTTAATTTCTCCTTCAACTCAGTGCAAAGAACATTAGTTTGTATCATGCTAAAAATCTAAATTTTAAAAATGTCTTCTGAATCTCAGAAGTGACTATGCCCACTTAAACCTTCTCGGCTTTCTTTTTAAGTGCCCCCAAATTTAGAGCAATTCCTTGAATTATAGAAAAGAGCAGACAGCTGGGTTTGGTGGCAAGTGTTTTTAATCCTAGCAGGTTGAGTTCAGGGCTAGCTTGGTATACATATTAGAGTTCCAGGCCAGAGATACATGGAGGGAGCCTATGTAAAAAAATAAATGAAAAAAGATAAAGAAAAATAAAACCAGAATAGAGAAGGGCAGAGAGTGAGAAATATAAAGGTTGTCTCCCTGTGGCAGCATTAGTCTCTGCATACTATGGTATTATTAAAACAAATTGAATTTCACGATGTAATTGCTTGCAACTCAAATCCTTAAAGTCCCATGTACTACTACTAAAGAAAATGAACAGCAACTGGTAGGTATTCTGTAGTCCTTTACAAGAGACAAATGGAGTGCCTTAAACAAGTCCTGTCCTGTCCTCAAAGTTAAAGATACTGACATCGTTCTCTGTCCAATGGAAATCCATGGTGAAGTGAGAGCCATGGCAAGTGAAGGGTTATAATTACTAGTTATCCTTAATGGAATGCGGACAGCAGAAGAACACCGAGACCAACACTGGGATATGAACAACAGGTCTGCTCCGGATTACCATTCTAAATTCTTTCAGTTAAACCCTGACAGGGACATGGCCCATTTTTCAGGGAGTAAATCTAATGCCCCTCTGAGGACCAGCCACCCATTTCACTGGGATGGAGTTAGGCTGCTACTCAGTGTGCAGGGCTCAGTGAGGGAGACAGACTTACTGGTGTCAACAGAGAGAGCAAGTGGAACAGCAGTTACCCTGTGCTCCCAGTCCTGGCCTGGCCTCCACTCCTAGGAACAGGATTCAGTAGTGATGGGTACATCTTTATAAACACGTCTAACGCAGCAGCTTCCATACTGTTACAGAGTTGTGGTGACACAACTGTGGGTATCATCTGCCCACCGAGTGACTGTTTAAGGAAGAAGAGGGCCAAAGCTCAGTTCCACATGCTGAGTGAGCCAGATAACCTCTGTGCCCTGGTCACTTTCTTCCATAGGGCGAATGGGGGCAGCCAAGTTTTTAAAATCATGTTTCATCTTGAAGCACACGGTCACTTCGCCTTCCTCACGTTGTGGGGTGACTTTGATGAAGATGCCTACTTTGTTGGCTTTTCTGAAAGCTACAATGCTATGAAAAGAAAGGCACAGTATTAGGCAGATAGATGAGAAGTCAACCCAATCAACAAGTCTCCTAGTTATTTCATGGCACAATGGGAACCTCACCTGTGACCACCATCCTGCTGACCAGCTGAGCTATTTGTGAATTTTTATTTATTTAACATGTATAGGTGTTTTGCCTGCTTCCAAGTTGTGCATCATGTACATGCCTGGTGCCTGCAGACGCCAGAAAAGGGCAATAGATTCCCCTGGAACTGGAGTCATAGACAGTTGTGAACTACCATTTAGGTGCTTGGAATTGGACCTGGGTTCTATGGAAGAACAGAGGAAATTCTTAACTGCTGAGCCACCAGTCCAGCCCTTTATAGTAGTTATTTTATAAATAAGAAGAAAATTAAGCTTTTAAAACCCAGGCAAAGAAACAGACATGTATGTGTGCATTTTAAAGGTCTGACTCTGACACAAATTCATGTCTTTAATGTCCAATTTCTAGCATGTGGCGCTGTTTTGGAGGCCATGTAGCTGGTGAAAAGTGGGGCCCTGCTGGAGGGAGATGCCCTCACAAAGGCACACATTTGAAGGCTACTTGCCCATTTCCAGTCCAGTTGTTTTGAGCTTTCTCTGTACCATGTGACTAGCTTGTAGCCTCACCTCATGCCCCCTCTGGTAAAGGCACAGGTGAAGCCTCTGCTACCTTCAGGCCTCTCTTTCCCTGATGGACTAAAATCCCTCTGAAATCGGAGCTAAACAACCTTTTCTTCCTAAGCTGTTCCTGTCACACATCTGGTCATAGTAAAACAAAAGGACAAATCCAGGCTCCTGTGGTCTGAGGGTCACAGAAAGATCACTTACTCAGGGTCATCCTGAAAGTCCTGGGGCTCTGCCAGTTCATCATACTCTGCTGCTGCATCCTTGCCAGCTAAAATGAGCTCTTTGGGAGGCACCACCACCTAAGAGCAAAGGAGACAGACTGCAGCAGCACCACCTAGACAGAGGTGAACATCCCGTTTCTGGACACATGTATACTCCTTACACAGTCTAACACACTGCCAAGGAAACTTGAGCATGAGGATGAAGAATGGAAATGACAAGTCAAGTGAGTGCTGTTTCAGGGGTGCTGTAGGATGGCTAATGCTTACCCCAGAGACAACCTACTGCCATGGCTACAGTTGTATTCCTGGACTAGGCTGAGTAGGGTGAAGCCCTACCCTACCTGTGGGTGGCACCATTCTGTGGACTGAGGTCCTGGACTAGATTAAAAAGGAGAAAGTAAGCCGAGCACCATCTTTCATCTGTGACCAACTGCCCTAGGCCAGGCATTGTGACTGAGTCCTCCCACTGCCAGGCAAAATAAGCTTCCTTAGATTGCTCTGTTAAGACTGTTGTTGCCAATTATTTTGTTGCAATAACAAGAAGTAACTAACTAGTATAGCTTACTGAAGGAAATTCAACCAGCTCAGGGCATCTTTTTTCCTTTCTCCAACCCCTGACCCCCCTTTCTTTTTCCTATTTTAATGTGCTGTTTTTAAGATAATTTCTGGCATATCTGAAATCATCTACTTTTTTTTACTCCCTGAAAACATAAGGACTTTCTGACACTGAACACTGGGTATATTTATATTTATGCATATGGAGCACAGGTTAGATTCTTATGTTGCAAATGGTCCATACCTTGTTATCTCAGAGACCAACAGGGACCACCAGCCACAGTCCTAAGTACAGCTACCGTGCAGCCTTGCTGCTATTTGTGTGTGTGTGTGTTGGTGTGTTGGGGCAGGTGTGTATGGGGGTTAGCACATGAAAGCCTTGATCAAGGATGCATTCTGTTTTCAGTCCAACTAGACCTACTTATTATCATTATTATTATTTCTAAAAACAATGTCAGGACATGTGTCATCTCTTTCTGGAGGTGATGCTAGTGAATGAAATTATTAAAAGGCAGAAGAAAACCCACTAGGAAATTCTCTAGTGATATTCTTTGAATACAGCTGGAGATACAGGCATTCCTTCTATAAATCATGAGTCAGTACTACATAAAGTTCTTCTAAAATTTTCATCAACTTGCTGGTGGGATGGCTTAGTGTGTCAAAGTGCTTGCCACCAAGCCCAGCAACCTGAGTTAGTTCCCCTGGATCTACAAGGAAGAGCATGTGCCTATGTGCACACAGTGTGCACATATAGAAATAAATACATATACATTAAATTTTAAAAAAATCCATCAATCTGAGTATATAAAAAAGCTGCATTCCATTTATTCAGGCAAAATTATGTTCAGTCACTGCTATTTGTATTCTACATAAATAGTGGGAATGTAGGAGAGACACCAGCTTCTAAAGGGAGGTGACATCACATGAGTCCTAATGAGTGCTAAACTGCATGGGAAGGGTGTGTACAGTGCAAGATGGAGCAGGAAGGAGCAGCTCAAGGAAAAATGAGCAGTTCATGCAGCTCCCCAGAAGGAGCATTTACACCCATCAGTGCAGCCATCCTGGCAGCAGCACCTAGAAATGCTAAATTTGAGGGTCTGGAGGAAGGATACACTGAAGAAAAGAAAGCAGACATCATCAAAGAGCTGTGCCAAAGAAGGCAGACTTTTCCTGAAGTCAGAGAGCTGCACGTGATCAGAAAGCAGGTGGAGCAGCTGATGGGACGAATGGACTGGCAGCACACAGGTGATGGGCTGGGATGAGGAGAAGTATTAAAGTACTAAAGAGTGACGTCAGGTAAGAGGTTCCTGTCTGGGACCAAGTTAGAACTGAGACCTGACAGGCAGTGGCTGTGTGTTTGAGGACAAGATAAAATCAGGACACTAGATCATACACAGAAACGAGAGAATATTGTTTTAAGCCATGTCCAGTGAAGCACTGCAGGCGATGTCAGTCAGGGTCTGTATGAGGAGACAAATGCCCTTACCTTAGCAGTGCTGTTAATATTATCAGGGTCCCCCTCTTCACACTCCAACAGAGTCACATGGGTGAGATTCTCTACTGGATTTGTAAGAGTCAGGAGGACCTGGCTCTCCTGGAAAATAAAGTATCTTTCAGACATCAGCCACACTCCCACTAAAGTCCACCTTCTTAGGTGTTATACAAAACAATTCTCCAAATCATCCCCTTTCCTTCAGAGCAATAACATCTTTTGTTCCTCCACACCAGAGCATCTTAAGATGTTGCTGACCTTTCTATTTCTGTGTTAGCAACACACCTTCTGCAGTAGGTATCTCACTAAAGAAGCTGGACAGATTCTAGTTACTAGAACTCTCTGAAAGGTTTATTATCTAAATGATTAAAGCTTGCAGTTCTTGTCCTACTCTAGTTGCTGTTTAGGGAATGAAATGGAAAAAACCAAAACACCAAAAAAATCCTAAATAAAACATCATAGCCATAGGCTAGACAGAAGTAGGGGGGAAATGACACAGTAAAACTATAATTTCCAAATCCTGATAAGATGGCCATTTGCTACTCTTGAGAATGGTAAAAGAAAGAGATGCTGTAACTCTTTTCATCAGCAGCATGAAGGTTAAGAGCCAAAGAGGCTGGGCAGAACAGTCAATCATTCATCAGAAGAGGCCCTGTGGAAGAACGAGGCTATGGCACAGAAGAACCTAGCCAACTCCTGGTACTGTGTACAGATATCTGAATTAATAGAGAAGCTCCTAATGGCAGCAAGAGAAAGTTGTCTATGGTACCCAGTATTACCATCTTTCTTTTCCCACTTTTGTACCTTTATAGAATGTGCAACCTGCTTCTTATACACCCAAAGTGCTATTGGCAAGAATCCCAGTTTAAAGATACAAAGTCTCCATGTCTTTATCATTTTAAACTGCGCCTTTCCTGACCCTTCCCATCCCACCCTCACCCCCCCCCAAAAGCCACCCACATATAGACATGCAGAGACCACTGACCTAGTCTGTGTGTTGGTAAGTATTGTACTAACCTTCATGTAGCGAAGGTTGGGGATTGACATGATTCTCACTTCTGGAATATAATTGCTACCGATAAATAAAAACATGTATTAAAAAAAAAACCCAGACACATAAACTAGTGCTACAAAGAATGTTAACTAGAATACATCAAGAGAAAATGGAAACCTATAGCACCACAGCAAGAGACATGAAACCAAACTAGCAATGAGTTCTGTCTAAAATTTTAGGATTTCAGCAGGATTAGGGCTTAATGTATCACATCATATACTTTCATTATAAATTTATTTTGAGGGCTTCTCACTTACTTCACCTACAGAGTAGCTGGTTACAAGATCCAATCTCATTAACATTCTATATGGCTGTAAACACAAATTCCTTCCTACCACACACACAGCACTTCCTGTGTGCCAGGCAATATCTTAACTATTGTATAAGTGTTCATCCCAGTGTCCACTTCAACTCTGTGAGACAGGCACTTCTGCTGCTACCTCATTACAAAGAAAGAGACAATGGGCATGGGCAGGCATTCCAATCCAGAAACTCCACAGTATCCTTGCTTTTGAGGGCTGTGTTACCGCTGCTTGAATGCTTGTCTGGACTCAAAATTACCCAGGTCCAAATGTCTGTTCAGTATTTATAGACCATGATGATGCTTTGTAATAGGCATAAATGCTATGAACTTTCCCACCTGTTCTACTACCCATCTCAGTACACTGGTAATTTTATTCTTTACAACGCCAAGGTTCAAGGTGTTCAAACTTAACATATAGCTCTGGCTAGTCTGACACTTGTTATGTAGACCAGACTGCCCTCAAACTCACAGAGATCTACCTCTGCTTCCCAAATGTTGAGATTAAAAGCATGCACTACCAAGTCCCACTGAATTATTTTTTAAAAACTATTATTGTGTGTACGTGTGTGTGTGTGTGCACGCATTCGTGTGCATATATGTGGAAATCAGACAACTTAGGGAGTGGGTGGTTCTTTTTCCACTTTTACATAGGTTCCAGGGATTGGGCTCAGGTCGTCAGCTTGTTACAGAAGTGCTCAGTATTACTGAACCATTTTGCTGGCTCTCTCCACATACCTCATATACCTGCCTAATAATCTTTTTTTTTTTTTTTTTCTTTTAAATACACATCCACTGACAACCTGCAGTGAGCTAACTCTAATCACCTGTACTCCATTCAGTGAAATGTTATCAGAACCAGGGAGTAAAATGAACGTTGTTTCAGAGTACTCTTCAATTGGCTATACTTTCACTTTGGAAAAAGTCTTAACTTAGATATCTTATGATTCCGTACCACTACAGATCATATCACAACACACTGTCACTGACACAAACACATTTCTGCTTCTGTCTTCCCAGAAGCTGGGATCCCAGTATATGCCAATTTCAGGTCACACAGCCTCGATTCTACATTTATAGATGGTAATTGAGACTTCATGTAATTCAACTAAATTCAAAACCAGAATAGGAACAAAAAGACTACCCTGATGCAATTTTTCTTTTCCTTTTTACATTTTTAAAAAAGATAATCCATATTGAAAACCTCAATCAACAACCCAAAAATACTTACACAGCAACCAACTGGATTTTGAACTTGATAGATGTTGGATTAAATTCTGGCTTGCTTAAGTTGTGTTCACATTTCTTAAAAAAAAAAAAAAAAAAGGAGTACATGTCAGAGGAAAACAAGAATATACTCTGAAGATCCATAACACCATAAATGCTGAAAGAAAGTAATTACTAGAATTTTATGTTTTGTTCTGCCCAAAGGCTATAAATTTTAAAACAGAATTTATGGTACTGATAACCAACATTTATAGAATACATATGAATTATCACAAATATCATAATGTAAACAACGCATACTCTGTCTTAAGATGAGCACCACATAGGTGAAGGTACACACAGATAATGTTCTCAACAGATGATTAAAATGGGACCCAAAAAGGAGAAGTCACCTCTAATGTCAGAGACCTGTATGAATGCAATGGCATATATAATATTTTTTAAGCAGTACAAAGATTTTTCTATTATTCAGAATGCATTACTAGTGTGTCCCTTGTTTCTCTTTGCAGGGCCAATCTGCACAGGGCAGGCTAGACACACTAATGTATAGGCATATTTCATCTTTCTTTTTTCATAATAATACAAAAGGGAAATCAACACATTCTCTTGCCCTTTCCATATTATATTAATCTTGGAATTCTATCCCAGCACACACAGGAAGCTCATTTTTAATGTTCTACTGTAATGATTTCTATAACTTTAACCAGACAACTGAGACATTTAGAATATCTCCACCACTTTGTGACTGTATGTAAAGCAGCAATGAGTATTGGACACAAGTCACTTTCCAATACATAAATGTGTCAGTAAGACAATGGGAAGGCCATTCACTACTTTGACAGATACTCCCTATCTGCTAATTTCTGTTATCTGATGACTATCAAGTGGCATCTCAAAGCAGTTTTAATGCACACTGCTGTGATCGCCATGTAAGATCAAGCATCTTTCATGCTCACTAACCACAGGAATTCTCTCTGCCATATTCACTAGTTATTTTTATACTTGGGTTACTTTGCGTTTGTTTGGTTTTGGACAGGGTTCTTGGAATGCGCCACTCCCTGCTTTTGTATGCAGAATGGTAGAATCATAGGCTATGTGCCTTGTGCCCTGCTTTATACTGGACCTCTGTTCTGAGTTCTAGAGTCAGGTATACATTCTAGACACAGATCCTTCATTATCCAGACACCTTATGAATGACGCTTCTCAGTCTCTGAACATCTTATTTGTTTACATTTTTTTTTTTTTTTGGGTGGGACAGGAGCAGGTTTCACTGTTATTGTGATTAAAAAAAATCCAATTTTACTTTGTTTGTGAAACAACCCCTTACTCAGAAATCTTATATGAATAACCCCCCCCCCCCCACACACACAATTCGCCTTTTAGGTTTTCAATTTTCCTAGCCAAAAAAGAAAAAAAAAAAAAACAATTTATTTTTTTGACCCAATGTCTCATGTACCTGTGCTGGGCTTGAATTTGCTATGTAGCTGAGGATGACCCTGAACGTAACGATCATTCTGTTTCTACTTCCTGAGTACTGGAATTACAGGCATGTAGCCCACATCATTTCATGGGATACTGGGGATTGAACCCAGCACATTAGGCAAGTACACTGCCGACTGATCCACATGCCTACTACCTATCCCCCAGCAAAATTTAATAGTCTACTCTTTCCCCAGTGTGTAATGCCATAATTAGCAAACATCAACTTTTATTTATTTTTTTTTGGGGGGGGGAGAGCAAGATTTCTCTGTGTAGCCCTGGCTATCCTAAATCTCAATCTGTAGATCAGGCTGGCCTAGACTCAGAGATTCACCTGCCTCTGCCTCCAGAGTACTGGGATTAAACGTGTGTGCCACCAACTATTTTTACATGCATAGATCAGTTTCTACTCTTTGTTTTGTTACAATATATAAAGTGTAGATTTTGTGTTTATGTGGCTTTTTCTTCCTTCTTACATAAAAGTCACACACCTATCATTTATTCTGCTTTTTGTATTTAAAAAATATATACCATGCTAGCATATTTGAATAATCAATATGTATATATATAGTTTTTTTAGACAGCATTTCCCTGTGTAGCTTTGGAGGCTGTCCTGGAAGTAGCACTTGTAGACAGGCTGACCTTGAACTCACAGAGATGTACTGCCCCTGCCTCCCGAGTGCTGGGACTAAAGGCGTGTACCACCACTGCCTGGCAAATAATCAATATTATGCAAAGTTGATAGGAAAAAGTAATTGCTTATTTATTTTGGGTAGCTATTACTGTATTAATGGTGTATCCTATATCCAACATCTATGTAAACTTCATTAACATATACTATTTACTTTTACTAAAGTCTGTTACTTTTGGTTTTCTCTTATATTCTGCATTATTCCTTAATATAATTAGTATCTGCTTTTGCTTCTATTTTGCTGAATTTATTTTGTTGCTGTTTTTTATAATATACATGCTGAGCTACTAATATTTTAATTTCTTTTATGTGCAAATACTTCTGTATTTATAACTCTGTATAGCTACAAAGGCTTTACTCATAGCCTGTAAATTTTGCTAGTAAGAATTATCAACTTATAACTTAATTACATTATGATCTAATGATACACTTTCACATTTATTTTTATTTAATTCTGTGTAGGTGAGTGTCTGGATATGTGCAGGTAAGTGCAAGTACCCCTGAAGGCCAGAAGGAGGTGCTGAATCCTCTGCAGCTGGAACACAGGCCCTTGTGAGCTCCACATCAGGGTTCTGGGACTGAACTTCTCTGTAAGAGCAGTGAGCACGCTCAACTGCTTAGCCATCTTTCCAGCCCAAGATTTTCCTTATAGTCCAGTATACAGTCAAGTTTTTAGAGTGCTCTGAGTCTATTGTACAGATGTTAAGTATAATGTTTTATATACATGTCTATTTGGACAGGTTTGCCAGTGAAAGGTTCCAAATCTTTCCTTATTGATTTTTATTTGTTTGGTCTGTTTGAGATAAATATAAGTCAAAACATCCCCAAATTAAATGTCTGTTTATATACTTTTCTCAAATATTGTTTTGTGTAATTTGAGTCTATTATTTAGTATCTATACATTTTGAATGTTACAGCATCTGTGAGCTGAGCCTTTTTAAAAGTAAAATACGATGCTGGGCATAGTGGTGCATAACCTTATATCCCAGCACTAGAGAGGCAGAAACAGGAAGATCTCTGTGAGTTTGAGGCCTGCCTGATCTTCATGGTGAGTTCCAGGATAGTCAGGCCTACACAGAAACTCTATGCCAGAAATCCAAAACCAAAACAAAAAGAAAGGAAAAAAAAAGCAAAAGAAATTTTTTTTTTAAAAATTAGTGTTTGTTCAGCCAGATGTATTGGTACGTCTTTAATTCCAGTACTTGGAAGGCAGATCTCTGTGAGTTTAAGACCAGCCTGGTCTACATGAGTTCCAGAACAGCCAGAGATATACAGTGAGACCATGTCTTGAAAATGAAAAGCAGAAAAAAACTTAGTGTCTGTATAACCTCCACTGCTCTTTCCTCCTTCCTGCTGAGAATCAAACCTAGGACCCTGTGTGTGAGAGGTAAGCACTCTTACACTCTTAACCCTGAGCTTTACCCCGAGCCCATGGCTTTCTGAGACAGGGTACTGCTGTATAGCTCAGGCTGGCACTGAAGTGAAGATCCCCCTGTCTCAGGTGTCCAGGAGCTGGGTTACAGGCATGTACCACCATATCTAGCTTTATCTGCACTTTAATTCTCTTTGAATTCTTGTATTTGTGTTGTTCTAATCAGCATATAAACGAGTTGTAGTGTTTAGTCAATTTATTCAGTTGGGCATTCTATGACTTTTACTTACTTAATGAATTAACCAGTTTCAGTGTGGGCACTCCTCTCCTTCTGCCACATGGGTTCCAGGGATGAAGGTCATCATGCTTGATGGCACATGCCTTCATACACTGAACCACCTGAACTGATAATAGCTCATTCTACATTCTTAGCTTTTTTGTGATATTAGACATTATGCCATTCAGCCATAAATGTTTTGACATGCATCTCCAAAAAGATAATAATATTAAAAAAAAAACCATCCTTAGAAAAGACTAATACTTTAAGAACATAAAGAAATCCTGCTAATGTTTAAATTTCTCAGATTTTATACATTTTTGTTTTCTCCCCTCCTCCTCCCCTTCCTTCCTAGGTTCTTTTTCTACCTAAGCTTTAATTCTATATTTTGTCTGGATCAGGATCTGTAGAAGTGTACAAACTGTGCTTGACTGGTATACTTTTAAACTGTCTCAATCTTAAGATGCATTATTTGATAACATTATCCATATGTGGTTGTTTAAATAAAGTAGGAGTCAGTATTTCAGCTAATTTCACATTTCAAAGATGTGGCAGCCATGTGGGATCAATGGGTACCACACTACATTATTCAGACATGGTAGAGTCCACAGCATCACAGGATGGAGTCTAAAAGACTTCCTCCTTCCATTTTGTTTGTTTTTATAATTTACTCACAAATTATTGTTCTGTATATTCTTAAAGATTAAATTGTGTTTTTTCTTCTTTCTTGCTTTTTTTTATTTAGTTTATATTATTGTTCTATTTGTATTAGTCTAAAAGCCCTAATACATTCTTCTGCTATGCTTTTATGGGCTTACATTACATAGTCAACCTTTCGATACCATACTCCCATATCTGTAGAGCAGGAAAAACAACAGTAACTACCTCCAGAATTGTTAGGATTGACTTTATATTGGAACTTTTTAAAATGATGTGCAGACATCTGGTGTTTTCTCTGAGCTTTCTGTATTTATTACAGTGGTCAGATACCAATCATGTCTATTCTATCTACCTTTCTCTTGTACAAAATGGCAACTGTACAGGAAAGAGTATTTACCCGACAGCGCAGGGACCGTTTGATCAGAAGGTGCTTGTGTCGAGGATAGAGCTGTGAAGCAGAGACTGGCTGGAAATCAGGCTGTAAGAGGCGCTGCTGAAGGGTAGTCACTAGCAAGAAAGGTAGAAATCAGTCACTTCCAAAAATCAGACTTGTATGTGGGCAAAGTTCTTTAAGTGAGTATATCTACTTTGTACTAACAATTCCATTAAGAATCTTAAGTCCTGAGGCATGCAAGAAGCCAAAACACACAGCTGGAGAACAGAGCAGCAACAGAAGAACACGTGAAATTACCCTCTGTTAAGTTCACTGGTCGTGTGTAATAGTCTTCAGGCAGAGGTTCCACTTCAGCAACGGCCTGAGCTGGCTCAATCTTTACCTCTTTCTGGTCTTCTCCTTCTCTAAGGCTAAAAAATGAGAGGCAGTAACTTCCCAAGGGTCCACTAGATTGTCCTCAAAGTCCTTTTCAATAACTGAAGTATTCCTCTAACATAGAGTATCTTATAAGTTTGGGCCTTTTCTAAGTCTAAGAATCTTTCTCCTATTGGTAGCTTAAAAAAAAAAAAACAAAAAAAAAAAACCTTTAAACATGCATTTGTTATTTGCTATTCTTGGTTATTTAATGTCTACACTTACGAAAGTCCAGCAAGTGTACTAATGGATGCACCAGCTCGTGGTCGCTGAAGCCTGGTTCCAAGACTGTACTTGTCCTAAACAAAGTTCAGAAATTCCCATTAGAAAGGTCAGTTTATACCTCCTATTTATTGAAAGCAAGAAATAGGAGAGGATAGCATGAGAAGCTAGGGGGATAAGCAAAAAACTAAAATGAAACCAAAACTAATAAAACCAGAAAGCTACTAAAAAAGATCTACTTTATTATTCTATTCTTAGAATAAGCAACACAGACACTAAAACTACAGTAAAATAGTAAAAGTGGACCATACATAAGCTTTTAATACTAGCCTAAGCACGTCCAAGAATCAGAAACGAGAACTTACCACTACATGAATAGTGTGTTGCTGTAGAGCCCCCAAATAGCAGCAGGTTATAACAGAGACAAAAAAGAAAAAAAAGAAAAAAAAGGAAAAAAAAAAAAAAAAAAAAAAAAAAGAAAAAAGATGAAGCATAAGATAAAAGCAAATGCATACAACCAGCAGGTATATGGGAAGGCTGGAAGGATCGAGCAGTTAGTTTCAAGTCCTGTCCTAATATGTAAGCATGGATATGCTGATCAGGCCACTGGACTATTTGGGAACATTCCCTTACTTCATTGGTAAGTGTAGGTGCTATTCCTAGATTTACCTTACCAATCCTAATGTCTTTAGTGGCCTAACTAATTGTCCAGGAGATATTGGATGACAAGTTATCTAATCTTCCAGATCTTATTTCCTCAAGTGTACAATGAGGGAATGCTATCAACATCACAGCACTGTTGTAGGGATTAAATAAAACAGTATACATTATATACTTAACATAGTGCTCAACATGTCATACCATTCAATAAATGTTATTTATTCAATGTCAACATGTTAGGGCTCAAGCAAGTAGAAAGAAAGCAAAATGTTTTGTGAGAACAAATGAAACTCGGGGATAACAAGAAAAACTCAAAAATCCCAATTCTTGCTTCTGTCTAGTAGTTATAAGCTAGCAGAAAATGACATCTATGAATCATTTCTAAGAACAACTCCTCTTGTGCATATCTCTGCTTATTTAACCACACAAACGTGCTGTGCAAGGCTCGGATGCAGTCAATGAAAGAGTGCTTGCCTACAGAGGTGAGGTCCTAAGTTCAATCCCCAACAGTACCACCACCACCACCACCACCACAAATAGTGTGCATGTGTCAGTGATTTCCATCTTGAAAAAAAGTGAGGCTGGAAAGGCGTCAAAATAAAAACAATGAAAGATTAGAACTGGGAAACTAGAGTGCCATAGGTATGGGTAGAATAAAATCTACCTCCACCCCACCTCCTTCTTCTTTTCAATCGTTCTGTAATATGCAAAAACAGTAAACAGTAAACTAAAAATTTAGGTAGTAACTTTGGTAGGAATAATAATGAAGTGATGGGGTAAGACAGATAGATGCCCCTACTAAAACACAACAAAATTAAATAAAATTAATGACCCAAAAGCACAGCTGTGGGCTTACACTTCTGTATTTAAGAAACTGCTTTTGAATCCAACTACAGAAATCTAGGAAATCGCCATTTTCTAAAATGGCCACTATTCTGATGCCTTACAGGCCTTGTGAAATGTCTTTCTGTGTCAAATTCTCACCGAAAATGCCAAAGGCATATAGTTTCTACGCCGTGCTAGTTTCTTGCGATCTCGTTCAACCTTTTCCTTCTGAGCAAGCTGCTGGTAATATTCAATCAACTTATTCATCTGTTAAAAAAAAAAAAAAATCAAAGACTATTTGTCTCATGAAAAGACTAACAAAATCAATCAATTGCATTGACTAGAAATAAAATGAATAAAGGAACTGGAAAAGTTATGAAGTGGTAAGTTTTTTCCTTTCTTTTTTCTGTAAAGAGGATTTTTTTCTCTTTAGAGTGTTTTCAGAATTGAAATCTTCACATCCAATCACAAGATACATGGGCTGTGGTGGAGTCAATATGTGCTTCATATTTCACTGCCTACCACACTTAGCCTTCTGTTACTTTTTAATTTTTTTTCATCATAAGGCAGTATGCCAATTATAAAAATTCAAACATGAAGAATAAAACACAACCCTACCTTATCCTTCGTGTTGAAGGTAACTTTTCCTTTCAATTAAGTAACCACTATTACCAGTCTTATCTTTCTGACACACTTACGAACATAAATACACTTTAAAACACCCATGTATAGATATAGAACTTGCTCCAAACCACAAAGTACTTTATTTTTTTTTTAATGTAAAAGAACATAAAATATCAATTTTTTTTTCATTCCAAGTATAATGGACTTCCCATACATCTGATCTACCTCTCTATTACTAACACATCTACCTGGTTCTTTGCAAAGGCTGGCTCTCATTACACAGAACAAATGTTCTAAAAGATATTTAAACTTACAAGAGGACATAATTCTTTCCTCTATATTCAGCAGCAAAAAAAAAAAAAAAAAAAAAAAAAAAAAAAAAAAAAAAAACAACAGATTTACTTTATGTATATGGTTGTTTTGACTACATGTATGTCTGTGTATCATGGATGTGTAGTGCCTTTGGTGGCCAGAAGAGGGTGGTGAACCCCCTATGTCCTGGGTGGGATATTTTTCTGTCAACTTGATACAAGCTAGCAATGTCTTTCAAGAGACATGTCAACTGAGAACTGCCTCCATCAGATTGCCTGTAGGCAAGACTGTTGTGCATTTTCTTGATAAAAGATTAATGTGGGAGGGACCACATTGTTGTTTCCCTTATTAGTATTTTCAGAATTGAATGGAAATCTTCACATCTAACCAGAGGATGCACAGGCTGTGGAGGAGTAGAGAAGATGTGTTCCATACTTCACTACCTACCACAACCAACATTTTGGTACTGTAGGTAACACCACCCTTGAGCAGGTGGTTTCAGGGTGAATAAGAAAGTAAAACAAGCAAGCCACCGGGCAAGCCAATAAGCAGTGTTCCTCTATGCCCTCTGCTTTAGTTCCTGCCTTGACTTCCTTCAGTGATAGAGTATGACCTGAGAGTTGTAAGATGAAATAAACCCTTTCCTCTCCAAGTTGCTTTTGGTTATGGCCTTTATCAGAGCAACAGACAACAAACTAAGGCACCCTGGAAATGGAGTTACAGAGCGTTATTAGCTGCTGTGTAGGTACTGGGAATTGAACCCAAGTCCTCTAGAAGATTACCCAGTACTCTCAACCACTAAGCCATCTCTCCAGTTCATCCAATTAAAAACAAAACAACACTAATTCGGGGCTGGAGAGATGGCTCAGTGATTAAGAGCATTGACTGCTCTTTCAGAAGTTTGGAGTTCAATTCTCAGCAACTACATGATGGCTCAAACATCTCTAATGAGATCTGGTACCCTCTTCTGGCCTGCAGACAAATATGCAGGCAACACTGTTATGTATAATAAATATATATATTAAAAAAAAAAAAAAAACAACAAAACTAATGTGATCCTGTCACCTCCTTGCTTTTAAACATTGAAAGGCTTCTCAAACTTTTTGGTCTACAAAGTCAACCCTCAATACCATTTTCTATTTGCTGATATCACACTCCATTTCAATCACTCTCTTAGCTATTACATACTTTGTTTCCTCTACCCACAGGCTGTTCCCCTGCTTGAAATCTTTCCCCTCTGTGTCTAGCATCTCCAGATAGCAGCATAATGCTCACGTTGACCTCATTATTTGAAATTTCCAAGAAATGTTGACAAGGCACAATTTTTTCCTCACATTACTTACTGTAGTTTTTATTTTACCTGGAGAGAATTTTTTTTCCCTTTCCCAGCAGATAAGCTTAAGAATCTGCATATATATGCATGCTCATTTGTTTATACACACCCCATCAGACATGCTGAAGATCTCACACTCACACACACCCCTATGTATAAATACTTGTTCATATATGCATGAATTTCTATAGGTGAGCATTTACAAAATACATACAACAAAGACTTGAAGCCTATATCAACCTACATTACACTTTGGTACACTCTCCCCAGATAACTGCAGTGTTTTTAATTTTTGCTGATGGTATAGGTGGAAAACTGTAAATTCCTGTTTAGTCTTCACTTTGACAGTGTAGTATGCATGCTGACAGCAGTTCATCAGTTCCCTATGTTGCTCTAATGCAGGGGTTTAAAAGGCCAACTGTAGCACATACTGCACAAATGTTTTCCATGACTTTAGTCAGGAGGAGAAGCATTGACTTAATGCCTCTCTGTGAGTAACTGACTCCACAGCACAAATACAGGCCCTCCTCAGCATGAGCCACAACCACCACCTCTCCATATTTAGTCATCTGTGGCCTAAGTTCTTGTACTTACCCGTTGTGTGTGAGGATTTTCTGGTTCTTGCCAACCGCCACTCGCTAAAAAATAAACATTAAACAGTAATTTTACCTTTTTATTTTTATAAAATGTCACCTGTAGGGACATAAATTGAAAGCACAGAAGCACAGAATTTCCAAGAAAGAACACTCATAGACCAGTATACACAGAAGAGTACTCTCTCTCCCTCCCTCTTCTTTCCCCCTTCTCTTTTTCTTTCAAGTATTAGGGACTGAATCTAGGGCTCTGTTCACATTCTACCACTGAGCTATATTCCAAGCCCTTTAAATAGCGCAGGTAGTCAAGCCTGTACTGCAAAAGCTTCTACCCAATGAGTCATCTCACCAACCTTGTTTCTAAAACATCTGAGACATAATCTTGTTAAGTAGCCAAAGCTGGCCTTATTCTGTATCCCACGCAAACTTAGAATTTGTAATCTTCTTGTCTCTGGTTCCCAAGTAGCTAGGATCACAGGACTAGGCTATCAAGCCCAACAATAACTTTCTCTCTCTCTCTTTTTTCGAGACAGAGTTTCTCTGTATTGTTTTGGAACCTGTCCTGGAACTCGCTCTGTAGACTGGCCTTGAACTCACAGAGATTCCCCCCTGCCTCTGCCTCCCGAGTGCTGGGACTAAAGGCCTGTGCCACCAACGCCTGGCTACATTGTTTCTTTAAATATAACAAGGTTGATAATGACCATTAACAGCACCAGTGTCTGAACCAGGCACCAGAAACAGCACATTTTTCTTCCTGTTCTCATAATACATTTTGAGGTAAGGTATGCTGATTGTGCCCATTTTACAGATGAGAAATCCAAGGCACAGAACAGTAAACAGATCTAAAGTCACATAGCTAGTACGTGGTAGAGACAGGAACCAACTCCTGTAGGCAGGATCAGGAAATCCTACTCATTTGTAGGCATGATCCAAATTCTGAACAAGTGGCACTGAAGCAACTGGATCTACACAAGCAAAACAAAATCCCCCAACTCAAAACCCGTACAAACCTCAAAATCCTTGAGCATAAAAAAAAAAGTACAGGACTTACCTGAGAAACAGACAACAGACTGAGACCTAAGGGTTAAAACTCTAATTCTACAAGTACACAGAGTAGATTTTAGCAAAACTTGATTATACAAAAGTTTATAGTACAAACTATAAACACACATGCACACACAAGGAACAATAAGAGGCAAAAGGAACCAGATATGGTAGTATTGTCTATAATACCAGAACTTTAGAGGTGGAGGTAAGATGAACAGGAGTTCAACACCAGCCTGGGCACGAGACCCTATCTTTTAAAAAGAAACAAAAGACTTGTAGACACTTTGCTAAAGATGCTATATGTGTGACAGATAAGAAAGAAAACACAAACTAGTCAGGTATGGTGGCTCATGCCTGTAATCCTAAACACTGGAGGTTTAGGTGGGGGGGGGGGAATCACCATTTCTTTAAAAAATATTTTTTAGAATAAAAAGAAAGTATATTATGGTAAAACAAAAACTAACACATCAGAATTGGACAAAACAAATAAACAGAAAGAAAAGAGCCCAAGAAAAGGTGCAATAATCAGAGATCCCCTTGTTTGCAAACACAGGAATCCCATAAAAACACTAAACTAGAAGCCATTTCAAGACCAGTCTGGGGTATAGTGTGAAACTGTCACAAGAACAAAATAAAATACAAATGAGAAGACTGCTAGCAGTTGAGAATACTTGTTGCTCTTGTAGAGATCTAGCACCCATATGGAGGCTGGCAACTGTCTGTAGCTCCAGTTCTAGAAGATCTAACATCCTCTTTTGGCCTTCATGGGCACTGCATGAATGTAACACATCCAGACAAAATACCCAAATGCAAAACATAAATAAACAGGCTGGACAGATGGCTCAGCAGTTAGGAGCTCTGGCTACTCCTCCAGAAGACCCCGGTCTGATTCACAGCACCCACATGGCATCTCAGAACCATTTGTAACTCCAGTTCTAGGGGATCTGATCCTCTGTTGACAGAGTGAGACATGTCTCAAAAAGTAAATAAGGTCAGTAGGAAATGCTCAGCAATTAAAGGCAGTTGCCACTAATCCTGAGGATCCACACTGTAAAGAGAATCAACTCCCCAGAGTTGTTCCCAGGACTCCAAACAGGTATGCACACACACAAACAAAAAAAAATAGGAGTCATCAAACTGTTCTCCACGATGGTAATATGAGAATTACCCAGTGTCTGACTAACACGATATAATCAGATTTAAGAAATATTTGAGGAGCATCATTTTCCTAATTTGTAGCTAGATGAATACCTTTTAAGATGATCACTTTTATGTTTAATTATGAGAATAGTTCAAATCCTTTACTGTGCTCTTTTTGACTCTCTAAAAATTGATCCATAAGGGTTCTTCAATTTTTGTGTCTGTTATTCCTGAGTCCTGCTCTTGTAAGTCCTGCACTTTTAATTTTTGTCCATGTTTTTTTGAGGCAGGGTTTCACACAGCCCAGGATGGCTTTGAGCTCCATATGCAGGCAAAAATGACCCTGAATTTTTGATATTTTTGCATCTACCTCTGAAATGTGGGGATTACATGTGCAAGCTATAACACCTGGTTTATGCAGTGCTGGGAATTGAACCCAGGGCTCCATAAACTACATCCCTAGCCCAAGAAATAAGTTAAAAAAAAATGGTATGGAGTTTGATTATAGTATTAGATTCATAAGAGCTACTTTACCAACTCTAAGAAAACTGAATGGTATTAGTCTGTGACAAAAAGCAATGATCCATAATTGTGAGGATATGGGTACATAGAAGGCTTACTGACAACCATTCTGAACTTAGGTTCTACAGTCCAACAGACACAGAGCTGATGGTCTGTGGGGAATTACAGCATTGACAGAAGAACAAAATCTCATGTTCAAGTACACCTCACTTACCTACTGATTTGTCTGCCATGCCCACATCTCTAGAAGTCCATCGACAAAATCCACAGGCCAAGTAGTAGGCTTTCTTCATGGTGGTTTTGGCTGGATCATCCGGAAGCTGTGTGGAGATGCTTGTTGCCCGGGTGGAAAGAGTATGCATGCACCCAGGACAGTCAAAGCAGTTGGCACATCTGTGACATGACAAACGCAACCATTCAGTCAGCTAATACTTATTAAGCACCTACTATGTGCTAGACATTGGTTTAATTCAAGATCTTTTAACCTTTTTCTACTTTTGAGCTCTTTCACTGAAGAAGTTTTTCACATAATCTCTAGTATATATTGTAAAACAGGTACATAAGTAAAACATTTACTGCTAAATTAAAAAAAAAAACCAAAAACAATTGTTATAATTTTACTATTTATTAAAGGTAAAAGCAAATAAGTATGCTTGTTTATTTTATATAGTGAACTAAATCTTTGCTAAATAGTTGATAATGCAGGATAGAGAATCTTTAATGCTTTTCAGAGTTGATATATTGATTTTGTAATTGCCAATACTTTACATAAATACATAGTATAAAATGACATAAATGTGTTTAGAGTCATTTCAGAAATTGTTGGAAATTCTGTCCTAATCCCAAGCCAAAATGCATTTAATGACTTTTTTCGGTATGTATAGGAAATTTTCAAATTTGAGTCTGCAAAATAGTAGGTTTCCTTACACTTGGTTTTTGTTTACTCTACCCCAACCTGTATAATAATAATAATAATAATAATAATAATAATAATAATAATAATATAATAATTCTGCTCAAGAGAGCAACTCAAATCAACTTTTAATATCAAACATTCTTATACAATAGAAACCAAAGAACCATAATTTGATACATGCTGAGGAATGATGGTAGAAAAATGTCTTTGCTTTCTATGATCAAGCTAATATATTTGCATGTGGCAAAAAAACAAACAACAATAGCAACAAAACAAAACCACCCCCTGCAATTCCTCAGCTACAATAGTCTCAACTGGGAGCTGGGGTGTTTTAGGCAGCACTCACTGGGGACTCAGGAATGCCAAGTCCACTGGCTGTGTGCAGAGCCAAGGCTATAATGAGGTAATGCAATGTAATATGGACATGCCCCACCATAAACACCTCATTTATTACATGTTGACTCTCAGATTTTGTTTCAGAAACCTTTTACCTCTGCCAACTTTGTAAAGTCCTCACATCTAGTGATATGAACCCATACACGGTCACAGTGCACAGTTAAGGAAACTATGGTTCAAATGTTAGGAATTCAAAGACTCTCAAGAGGAAAATAAAATTTTTTTTCTGGGTATTTTTACATTCCAGAAGTGTTATATGTTCACTTAAAAACAAAACAATTATCACCAAAACTTGTAACAAATTAGACCCTAATTCCATTTCCTCTATAGAGGAAAAAAAAAAAAAAAAAAAAAAATCACTGTTTCTAGGTGAAGTTTACTATTCCACATGTTTTTTATGCCTATGCAGGACACAGAGATTTTTAAGGAAAAGGCAAAAGTCACAGTTTGTGCTGTAAGAGAGATAGAATGTTGTATGACAGAAAATTCAGAGTCAACAACATAAGCAACTATGAAACTGGATTTGGAAAATTACTGTTTGACTGCTGTGCCAGAGATCTGAAAGGGGCGTGGTTCAGAGTGGGGCACTTGCAGGGAACAGATCACCATGGAAGGGGCATGGTTAAGAGTGTGGCACTTGCAGGGAACAGATCACCATGGAAGGGGCGTGGTTAAGAGTGTGGCATTTGCTGGGTTTTCTGTTCACTCCTTGAGATGCATCAGATAACATTTCCCTTTGGAAGCCCTGGATCCTGGTGCCTTTTGCTGTTTGTTTGAGACAAAGTCTATGTAGCTCAGCTTGGTCTTGGATTTGTGATCCTTCTGCCCTTGGCTAGGATTACAATTGTGAGCAACCACGCCCAGTGTTGTCAATGCTCAGAAAGCCCGAGACAATCAAGATTTCACCTGTAGTCTTAAACAATCTCAATTATCTGTTACTGACTGTTAGTCTTCAAATAAGGGAAATAACACCACCTACCTTACAGAGAGTCACTTGAAAAAGTCAGTGATAAATTAATGTACAGAAAGCACACAATGCAACACCTACTTCTCAGGAGCTATTTCCTGGAGCAGGAAAGACAAACAACAGTGGCTCACAACCACAAATGAATATGGCTGGTAACAAGAATTTTCACCCCAACCTAGCACTGGTTAAGAACACATCTAGCAGCCAGGTCTTGGTTCTTAAAGTCCTCCCATAAAAGAACCAAGTTTCTTCAAGAAATAAATTCTAAGTTAGAGGCAGAAAATATACAACTAATCTTAAAATACCTTACAGTACTATACTGGTAGGAAATTGATCAAGTAAATAGAACAAGACAACACTCTCTCTTCCAATGATAGAGGATATGGGGGTTCAGGAGAAAAGTAAAAGAGCTCCCAGTGACCAAAGATGGAACATGCAAGGCAGAAAACCAACAAAATAAAGCAGCATCACAGACCAACGCACAAAATAGATATTCATGAGTAACAATTAAACAGAGAAAAGAGGCAGAATACAGAAAAGGTCCCAAACCACTTATGTAGCTAGACTTTGAGAGGGGAGTCGAACTCCCTACTCTTACCCATTTTCCTGTCTAGTGAGAAAACATCATAGACACTGAAGGGCAGAACCAGGATCCCTCCAGACTTTTAAACTCACAACCAGAGAAACAGCTCCAACCACAAGAAACCTATGGTGACATAACTAAAAATCAATCCTGCTTCTTATGTACTATTGTCAAAATTCTTAAAAGTTTTCTAATAAAGATACTTTATTAAAAAATAAAATAAAAACCAAGTAGTGGTGGTCCATGACTTTAATCCTAGCACTCAGGAGGCAGAGGTAGATGGATCTCTTGAGTTTGAGGCCAGCTTGGTCTACACAGTAAGTTCTAGGAATGCTGTTTCAAAACAGAAACAAACAAACAACCCCCCCCCCCCAAATCCCCAAACACACATACATCCACCCCCACACACCTACCCTTAGGCAACGATAATGCTAATACAGGAAGACATTTAATCCTGTGTGTTTTCTTATTCATTATTTAAAAGCACTGTGTAATCCCAGCACTTAGGCTGGAGGAATCAAAAATTGAGGTCTGGTCTGACATAAAACCCTGTTTTGGCCTCAGTGCCCACAAAATTAACAACAAATGGGAAACAGAAAATCTGTCCTGTTCTTACCTATTTTTTTTTAATTTGGCTTCAGCTGATGGCATGTTTTCTAGGCAGCTGGGACAATAATGTGAGTCCACCTATGAGGAAATAAGTTTAAAAAATTAGAGAAAAGAGAAATTCATTATTAAAATAAGAGATACCTACCAGAAGGCAAGAAATGACCGATCTGGGGAAAACATAGAGAAACACGTGGGCTGTTTCCAACTAAGCAATTCTATCTGTTGATGTTAGTTTTTAATTTGTTTCTCTTTTAATCCTTTTTCTTTCTTGTATATTTTCTGTTCCCTATCATCATTTTATGTCCGCTGTGTCAAGACCTTTTATCTGATATGTCAAAGGTTCCAAATGAGTAACTCTACAGTCTAAGGAATCAATTAACAATGCAAATGTAAAGCTGTGAACAACAGTTTGGCTTGATTTCACTACAATAACTCAGCAATACCTTTGCTGAGAGACATTAAGTAGGGTTGGAAGAGATGGCTTGTGATTAAGGGCATTTGCTGCTCTAGCAGAGGAGTGGGGTTAGATATTCAGCACCCACATGGTAGCTCACCCTTAGCTTTCTTCTGACCTCCACAGGCAGGAGGCATGTACATGCAGGGAAGGCATTCAGTATTTCATCTTCTAAAAAAAGTAAGGTAGCTCTTAAAGACAGTAAGTTTTTCTTATTAGTGATATATTTACTAAGTATATATAAAAACTTACATAGTTACAATTAGAGACCTGATTCTTAATTTGTGTGTGTGTGTGTATGAGTGGACATCAGAGATAATTCTCAGATGCTACAACCTCAAATACTGCCTCCTGTAACCCCCCCCCCTTTTTTTTTTATAAGGAAGGGTCTCTCATTGGCCTGGAGCTTACCAAGTAGATAAGGCTGGCTGGTCAGCAATAGGATTATGTGCCATTGTGCCTAGCTTGTATGTGTGTTCAGGGATCCCGGGGATTGAACTCATGCCTTCATGTTTGTAAGTATTTTACCAATTGAGCTATCACCTCAGCCCCCAAATGAGAGACTTCCACTTATTATCTTACATTTGTTTTGTGCTCATGTGATGAAGTAGTTGGCTTGACAGGTAGGTACCATAGCTCATCTCATGGGGGGATGCCCAGGATAGCTCCCAGGAATTGGTTCTCTCCTTCTACCATGTCAGTCCTGGACCCAACTCAGACTGTCAGGCTTGGCAGCAAGAGACTTTACCTGCTGAGCCATCTCCAGTTCCCTCTTTGCCAGCCATAGACTTTTTAAATAACAAATAGAATAACACAATAATCTTACTGTGCTTTACTCAAAACACCGTCTAAATATTTGATCCACTCTTTTAAATATAGACCTCATAAGAAAGTATTTTATGTAATAAGTAGATTTTGTTTGATAATCTTATATTCTTTGATTTAACCATTCTCTCTCTCTCTCTCTCTCTCTCTCTCTCTCTCTCTCTCTTTTTCTCTCTCTGAGACAGGGTTCTCTGTATTGCTTTGGAGCATGTCCTGAAACTAGCTCTGTAGATCAGGCTGGCCTCCAGAGATCTGCTTCTGCCTCCTGAGTACTGGGACTAAAGGCTTGCACCACCAACGCCCAACTAGTTTAACTATTCTTAATATTTTGGCAAGTATGCCCAATAAGATAAGTATAACGTGTAAAATGGTTAACACTACAGGACACATTTTAACATGCATTTTTTCCCCCAGGGATCTTAAGTTTCTCATTCAGATCTTCATTCTCACTTCTAAACAACTATGTGACTTATAGGAAACATTTTGTGTTTGCTTCTTAACCTGTACATTTAGGGGTGGAGGTGTGAGTCTCGACAGTGTTTCACACTGAAGCCGGACTGCCCTAGAAATTACTATGCAACCCGTGTTGCTTGGAATTTACAGGATGCCTCCCTGGTGTTAGGATTAGAGGCCTGAGTCACTGCAATACAGCTTTTCTTTTTTTCCTTCAAGCAACAACATGCACCTTCAATAGCTGGACATGGTAGAGTATACTTATAATTCTGGAACTTGGGAGGTGAAGGCAGGAGTTAAAAGCCAGCACTGGCTACACAGTAAGCTTGGGGTTAGTTTGGGCTACATGAAAACCTAACTCATCAACCCCTACCCCCATCTAAAACCTCCCAAACCCAAGCCTCCATCTTCATTAGCTGGAAGGATTATGCAAAGCCTTTGTCACACAGTTAAATACAGAATAAGCGCAGCCATCATTTCTATTAGCGTTTTCACCAGACTGTGAGATTCTCAACAGTAAATAACTTCTGTCAAAAGCTGCAAAAGGGTTGGGACTTGGTTATTAGGGCCCGTTTTATTTTAAAACTGAACGATTCTATTCCTATGACCAACTGGGCCCGTGAATAGAACTCTGAGCTTCTTTTACCACAGACTACTCTGTTTGCTACTAATTCAACTTATCACAGTCTTCTTGCTTCAGTCCTTGGCCTGGCTAAGGAAACAGGGTCAGCAGTTTGGACAGGGCCCCGGTTCTGATTAAAGGAGGGTCAGGACTGGCCAGAAGGGTGGGCCACGAGCGAGAACGGCTGCCCGCTCCTCCCACGAACGATGAGAAAACAGTTTTCTCTGCCTTTCAGAGACCTGCGCTAGACAGCTCCCGACCTATCTCCCAGCCCTGAAGCCGCAAGTCCCACAGGGGACCGCAGGGTCCAGAACAAATCCGTCCAGCTACGGGTAGCTCTAGAACAAGAGGATCTGCTCAGCCCCACCCGGGGCCGCCCCCTTTCCGAGTGACTATTTACAAGCAAATGAAAACGCAAACCCAGGCGAATGATGGGGCACTTGGCCAATCAGAAAGCTAGACACAATATTTCCCCGCCTCTCCCGGCGGAAATTCCCGCCAGCCGCAGTGACTGGGAAGAGCACCCCCTGCCCCGGCGCACAGTCCCCTCGGAAGGGCCCCGTTACCTCGTGCGACACACATTCCAGCGATCGCAGCTCGCTGCAGTAGCGGCAGAAGTAGAGCTGCGAGAGCGGGGCCCGAACCTTCTTTTCTCCTTGGACGAGATAGAGAACCCGCTCCGACTGCAGCAGGGACGCCATCTTGGCGAGGGAGGAGCCAACGCCCGTCGCGCCCGTCACGTGACTCGGCCCGGACCGGGCTTCCCCCCCCCCCCGGCGTTTACCTACGTTTTTCACGTCTACGTTGACGTAAGATGTCTGACCCAGAGCGGGCTTTGCGACTTCAGTGCGCGTGCGCTTCTCGGGCTTGGGGCCAACCCATTTCCGGGATTCTTGGCTGCTGCTACCCTCCTCAAGACGCTCTGACCTAGCCTAAGTGCGGACGGGCTCAGTGCTTTTGTTTGTTTGCATCGTCCGGAAAGTAAGGGTGCTGTTTGGTTTTCTCACATCGGCCCCATCGTGCCTCACCTTCCAGGCCACTATTCCATCCCACCCGGAAAGCAGAGTTACAGCAGCACATTCTTCCTAACGGTCTTGCCTCGGACCCCAGGAAACATCTTCATTATCTCTTAAGATCCACGCGATGTCTGTACCATTCATTTCTAAGTCTGACGAGTTAGCGATAGGTCTACGTGTTGGGCACATTCAGTATCATAGTTGAAGACAGCGATCAGTGAACCCACTTGGCCAGGGCGGTCTATATTCTGTGTGTACACCAAAGCTTAGATGTGTAAAGTGACTAAATGCGCCCCCAGAGCTTTCTTACAGGCCCATGTTACCTGCCACCATGTGCTTGTACTAGTGTATTGTGTCTTGACATCAGAGGCCCTGATGGGAGCAGAAAGGGAACTGATCTGTTAACATTGGGAATGGAAGTAGAGGAAATGGAAAACATACACTGTCTCAATTCTCACGAAACTTTAAAAGTAGATACTATCATCTCTGACTCAGAGAGCAGAAAACCTGGGTTTACGGGAGCATGGCGTTTTGCTTCCCCTTTTCTCTTGTGTTTGACTCCAGATCTTGTACTGAAATGTCTTGAGCATATTTTCCAAGATGGTAATAACTTTATATAGTGCTTTTCAGTTATACAGTATTAATATTATGTCATAAATTACATCACATCAGTAGTTTAAGCCTACAATTTATTAACCTCCTTTTTTTCTTAAGGCAGGGAGGGATTTTATCCAGAAAGCGAAAGTATGATGCTTGATGGGCTACCTGAGCTAGAGTGCTCAAGAGCCCTGTACTCTTCTTGTTTGCCAGGCAAATGGCCTGGCACTAGATTAGTTTCATAATATATTCTCCAAATTAATTGTAGTTGTTTCTACATGTTAATGAATTCTTTGGCCTCATGGATCATCATTAGCTTTTAGTGAGTTTGAATCCCATTTCCTAGACTATTCCTATAGAGTCCCAAACCATAATGATGAAGAGAGGCCACAGATTTGAGTTGACCCCCATTTGAAACATTTTTTTTTTTAGAGGACTGGTTTTGGACAATTCAGTCAATTACCTGGTCCCTGGATGTGCCAGGTATTGAATAGGAACCAGGATGAGCACGGGTTTCCCCCTCTTGGGGCTCAGAGTCTAGGTCCAGGGCCAGTGTTTTACAAGTGTGGTTCTGGATCACCTACAGAGGAATTGCTGGAGGGATTTAAGATGGGAAATCTAGGTTTATTTAGATAGATTATTTTGTAGACATAAATGGGAATTTCTAGCAGGTTCCCAGGTTAAATTCTATCACTACCGAAGTTGAGAAGAACTGAACTTTTGATAACCACTTGTTTTTTGTTGTTGTTGGGCTTGGCACTGGGCAGAGCCTTCTCTGTTGTCCACTCGTCACACTGCCCAAGAGAGTATCTGGCATTATGAGGTCATTGTGCTATGGAATTGGGAAAATCTCCCATGGCAGAGAATCAAAATGCCTTATAATTTATTGATAGGTTCCTGCTGGAACCTCCAAAGAGTCAGAGATCTGTGTTCCAATAACAACACCAGCATCCATCTTAGGTTACCACTAACCTTATTTTTTAACTGCATTCTGATATGTGAATACTTAGGGGTACTTCTGGGTACCCATTTGGTAAGCCACAAAGTATGAGTTAACATTCTGTGGAGAAACTAATGTAGATGAGAGCCTATGAATAATTCGCTCCTCTGCCATTCAGAATTCTTTGTGTCTCTTGTAGGGTTCCAGCAGGATCAGGTTGCCTTTGCACACAATGGTGACCAGCTTGGTAATGTGTCCTTGTATTGCCTTTCCACTCTTCCCTAAGGCCACTGGGATCACATTTTAGTGTTGGATTCACTGCCAGCTTTGCTTTTTAGGGCGAGCATCAGCTAGCACAGGGACCCAGAATTAGAACTGCCAGATGAAAGACTAACCACTTGTAAAAGATTCTGACAATGTGTTGTGAAAAGTCAGCTCAATTTGCATTCTCACTCAGAGCAAGACATCCACTTCCCTAGTGCTTTGCCAACAAAAAAAAAATATCTAATCTAGGTCAATGGTTTTGGCACTTTGAAGCTGTGTACTTTTGAAAAAAACTTATAACTCCCAAGTGTTGTTTGAAAACACATTTATTGGGAAGAATACTACATTTCTTGGTGGAAAAAAAATTTACCATGAGTGTAAAAGCATTTTGTAAACTGTGAAGTGCTAGGCATATAAAAAGAAAGATTCCCAGACCCCAAGTATGAAAATCCTATCATGATTTTCTTCAGAAGACCTTCAGGTCAAACTCACAAGAAAGAACTTTGAGTTAGTCTTCGGCCCAGTGAGCTCCCAAGCGACTTCTGAGACCGCAGGAACTGTGCCAACCACGCACAGCTGGCCATCTGCCAAGGCTGCTTTCTCCCCACTTTGAGTTTCCTGCTTGAACACTGCACTAATCACAGGCTTTCCTGCTTAGAGCCTGGAGTTTCATCAAAACATCACAAGGACACAGAAGGGAAAGAAAAAAAGTCATGTCTCAACAGCTCTCCATTCCTGACCCTCCTGGGAGTCCCTCCCAGGAAACATGGTGCTGCCTCCTGAACACTGTTTCCCAAATGTAAACATGGCAAAGGGCTGCAGGCTGATGCCCTCCTAGCAAACCTTCTCCATAGCCTGACTGTGAATGTTCTCTCAGACCTTATGTTCTATTTATAGTAGTCTACACTTTGCCTCGTGGCTTTTTACCTTTCTTTTGTTCTGTATGTCTGACTTCCTCCACATCTTGTTGGTGCCTTGTTGGTGTCGCTTTGCCTCTAATTGTCTCCTCCTACTTCCTCTGTGCCCAGAAGTCCTGCCTATACCTCCTACCTAGCTATTGGCTAGGTTTTTATTACACCAATCACAGCAATATATTTTCACACAGTGTACAAATATCTTATAATAACCTTGTCTCAAAACAACAAAACCAAAAATACTGAATTTGGCTAGTCGTTCTTAAAAAAAAAAAAAAAAAAAAAAACAGAAAACAAAAAACATCACACTTAAATCCTATTTATTTATATATTTATGTTCTGTTGTTTATCTACTTTCATTGGCTCTTTGTCACCTATTAGGCAAACCTCCAAACTCTTAGGTTAATGGATCTGGGACCTGCCTGCCTTCTCAGCTTCATTCCCCCTAACCTCACTCTGCTTTCAAGTCCTATGTAGTTCAACTCTGACCTAGGAATGAGGACACTCTGGGTCCTTTTATCCTTTTGAGACTCTGTCAATGCAGTTTCCTCAGCCAGGAACTTTTTGTCTGCTTGTTAGTTCCAGGGTATTTTCCTCTATGAAAACTTGCCAGACATTAGAATAGAGGAATTGACCACGTTTTCCCCTTTTCCTACAACTGTGACCTGTTAGAACAACTTGCATGTGGCATTGCCCTCATTTTTAAAACAAAAATGTTTTCTTTCTAAAGCATGGGCTCCGTGGAGGCCTGACAAAGGGCTTGATCCAGAGCAGGCTTATAGTAAATTGTATCTGATGACTTTTGAATTTGAATATACTACATGCACATGCTACTAAATTTGCTAACATCGTCTGACAGGTATGCGTACACAAAATCCCACAAGGTAGAGTTAGCTCAGCTTTTGGCTCAATGCTCTTCTGTTTTCCTTTAGTGCATGGCTGCTTCCATTTGATAGGCTGCATGTCCATTTCAGTTGCTTGCTGGAGTTCAGCTCCAGATGAGGGCAGGGTCTGAAGTGGGTGGATTCAAGGGCATCGAAGGAGAAATCAGACAGGGAACACTTCTTAGCTTTGTTTTGTGCAAGATGGACAGAGAGGAAGCACATCTCAGTGTGGCTTGACCTACTCTGACAGCCTGCATCTCTCACAAGCTTTATTTATATACAAAATCATTTCCTCATAGACTTTAATCATTGGTTACAGTCTTTTTCATGGTACATACTTTTTTCTAAAGTCTCCCTTAGTTAGATAAGCATATCAGAGTAAAACAAAATGAGCAAACAACAAATTTCATGAGAACTAAAATATGACATGATAAAAATCAATTCTCTTAACTCAATATCTGTTTCCTTAAAATTGGTGTTATGGTTACAGAATGGCCTTATGGTTACAGAAATACTAGACAGGATGTCTCTAAGCTTGACTAAGTTAATAGATCAGAAGTTATTTCCTACTACTGGTTATATCAAGATTCTCCTGTATTCTATTAATCTACTATAATAAATACTTGATTTTTCTGTGGAAATATAATTCCTCAGTCCCTTGTTCAAAGTCTTTCTTTTATATCTGACATAAGACCACCATTCTTTCCCTTGACCTCTGAAGTACCGAGCTCTTCTCTTTATTCCTCCTACAATCAGAGAAGCCCTAATCTGACAAATGTGCTCAGGAAGCCAGGCAGTCCCCTCAGTCGGAACTTAAGCAGGGCAGGACCTGCAGGCAGGAACTGAAAGAGAGACCATGGAGGAATGCTGCTTTATGGGCTTGCTCTCCATGTCTTGCTCAGCCTGATCTCTTATATAACCCAGGACCACTTGTCTAGTGAGGCACCATTCACAGTGTGCTGTGTCCTCCCACATTAATTGTCAATCAAGAAAATGCACTACAGTCTTGTCTACAGGCCAGTGTGACAGAAGATTTTTTCAATTGAGGTTCCTTTTCCCTGATGACTCTACCTTATGTCAAGTTGACAAAACACTCATGTGAAAAGGTGAGAAGCAGAGGTTAGCTAAGAGA